TGTCACAGATGTCAAATAAAAAATATATTTTTGAAATACCTTTTATTGGCAAATAAAATAAGAACTAAAATGTTTTAAATGTTTATTTTATAAGATCAGTCCCATACGGTCCCATCACAATACATATTACACAGACACAAACTAGAATAAAGATATATAATGCCTGGCATTCTAGAGGATACTCTTCATACTTTAACAGACCCCCTTAACCCCCATTTTCAACCAGATTGTTTTCACAATCAATAGGCCTCATCTGCTTATAGAGATTGATGTTTGCTAAACATTTCAAGTTTATATCATTTTTCAGTTAGGATTTTTTTTTATATTTTAACCCCCCTTAATTCCCCCATATATTCATATTTTTTTCAGTATCAATAGGCTTTATCTTCTTATAAAGCTTAATTTTTACTAAAAATTTCATGTTGATATCGCTTTTCGTTTTTAATTTAGGATTTTTTAATTTCAACCCATCTTAACACCTATTTTTAATCAGATTTGTTAAAAATCAATATGCTTTGTCCTCTTATAGAGCTTGATTTTTGCTTAAAATTTTCAAGTTGATTTCATTTCTCGTTTTTGACTTATCGTGTAGACAAAAAACCTGACTTCGGACAGACAGACAAAATAAACCTATAATATTCTTCACAGAATACTGTATGAAGAGTAGAAAAAAATGTATGAGGTAAAATAAACAATTTAAAAAGGTCAACAATAATATTCAACTTCTTTTATCAAAGGATACTAAAAGTTTGAAATAGCAGCACATAATTGAACACAGAAATCTATGAACTAAACTAGTGAGATGCATATCGTAAAATGTTATCACACTTAATTCTCCATATGACACTTTCTAAGTGTATTTCACAGAACATTCCAAAGTATTCTTGCTTTCACTAATGTCCTACCCTCATGGCTGCTTTTGCATGTCCAAGTTTACTAAAAAATAATGTGTTTTAATAAATAATAGAATAATAACAATTTTGTTTAAATAGGTAAATCGGCTTCATCTGTATTTTTAAATTATTGTTTAATTATAGATAGTATATTAATGTTTTGATATGTACTTATAGGATTGATTAGCCAGAGCATGTAGATGTGGGATGTGACTTGTTAAATGCCTAATCAAAATCACAATTTACGTTTGATACTTATTTTGAGACTTTTTTCGAGACATTCTTTAGTACCAACTGTAAACTACTTTACCAATACCCTTATTTTTATTTAATACCTGTAGTGATTCTAATTACCATAACATTTAATATTTTTGAAAATACTAAATTATACAAACAAGGCAATAAAAAAATATCATTAAAATAAAATATTTCTAGTTTGTATGTAACAAACGACCTTGGTTAGAGGGTAACACAATTAATAATTGTAAACATAACTTTATATAGGTAAACTATTTAAATGTACATACCATTTCTTAGGTAAAATTTCTCATCGAGTATATTAAATTAATTGGCTGATCCATTCTTCTGATTTAGCCTTTTAAAGTGAAAACCATTTGTCTCTTTATCTTAATCAAATTTTTATTGTACATTTCCATAATGATGTCAAATAGTTACCTCATCAGAATAATTAAATTTTTCCTTTTAGCAGATTTTGTGGGAAAAAATTTACAGATTTTTTGTTTACTTCTTACTTCATAGTATTTACAATTGTGTACAAAATAGACCATTTTGAAGTTGTCTTTGGATGGTCTAGATACTGAAACAAAATATAAAACAAATTATAGTCGTAAAACTTTATTACTGCTTTATTATAAAGTAAATAAACAAAATATAACCTTAAAATATTTTATTTATTTACCTTGCCTTAAAAGTTTTTCTTGAACAATAATTACATTAACACACATCCTTCCAATTTATTAAAGTTGCAGTTCTCAATTAAACACATTTTTTAAACAATCACAAATAAAATAATCTTAATTTTATTAAAATAGATGGAATGACAGTATTGACACTGACAGTTTGTACTTTGATTTGGTACATAGTTGCCAGAATGTTTTTGTTATGTACCAGATTTGTCTAAAAAATGTACCAGATTCCTTAAATGTACCAGATTTTTCGAATTCTATTTGCAGTGACATCTAAATTCATTGAAGAGGAAAGAAGGGGATCTTTATTGATAACGAACCCAAACAAGGAACACAATATATACATATATTTTACACGTGAACACTGATGCATGCAGAATGTACTACATCTAGTACAATTGTGAATTGTACTAGACTGGCAACACTGGTTTGGCAAACTTGTTTGTGAGCGGCGCGCCAATTAATTTGTTCTTTGACAGTTTGAAGGATCTGTTGGCGTGTTTTCATCTCTTTTTAGCTATATGTATTCGTCAAATCGTCTCACTCGTGTTAGGCTCACTCATCATAATGCGCCACAGACAAGGTTTACTTAGATATATTATGCCACAGAGACGCGATCAGCCAGAAAGCAATGATGTACCAAAAAATATAGATTAAGACGTATGAAAATAAAAATATTAAAATTGAATTTATATTTTTATGTTATTTATGTAATTTTAAAATAATGTGTCTTTATGAAATTGAACTGGGTGTTCACTGCACAAATGAACCAATGGAGAAACCGCCCCTGAGTCAGTCCAAGTTGTGTTTAGTACGTGAGCAATGTTAAGTGATATTTTTTGGTGTTTGTTTTGTGTAGTAATAAGATGAAGATTTTTACACACTTTAGGTATTCTAATACAGATATAAAATGTGCCAAAAAAGTTATTAGGAAACTAAGAATTTTATCACATGCATAAATATTAAGTATAATGATTTAATCATTTTTAACATTTTATTTTTCATATTGTATTGTATTTTGTGAAATATATGTTTTTCTTCTTTTAAATAAATTTAATAAACAATGAACTGCAGATTTTGTTTATTTTATTTTGAAATTATATTTAAAAAAATATAATAAATTCGCGTGTTTCAATTAGGATTGGTCAAAGTGGGGAAATCCCTTTATTATGGCTAAATTGTAAGTTAGAATTATGTCAATATAAAGATGTTTTGTCCATTCATATTTACATTTATTGAATGAATCATACTGGAGTTGATTTTGGAAATATTGGTGCATACTTAAATAAGTACTATTTCTAAAAATTCGTCTATGCACACATAGTCCAATGGACGTCCACTTTAGATCTATTTGAGGGTCAGGACGTCCATATCCGGGCATCCAGTGTACGTCCGTTTATGCTAATTAAATTGACAGCTGAATATCGATACCCAGAGAACGTCTGTTTTTGGACTTAATTTTAAGTTTAGTAGTATTTTGACGTCCAGTGGACGTCCATCTTAGGTCATTATTTATTAAGCCTACCAGATAATACCCATTTATATATACTTCTTTTTTTTAATATAACTGGTCATTAAAAATTGACAAATTGAATCCATTGCATTTCATTCTATCAGCGGAAGTTTAAAATCTTATTCAATTCAATAACTGTATCTAGTAAAAAGTTTTCAAGTGGTTCCTTGGTCGAGCTCGTCTAGCGATTGAAAGCGTAAAACGATAATGGATGTATCGTGAGTTCGATATCTGCTCAGGTCAAGCAATAAAAAAAAAAAAAAAAAAAAAAAAAAAAAAAAGTGTAGTGGTTTGCGAAAATAATAAAAAAATATTAATAATATAAAATAGTGTGTGGTGAGTTGGGGTTCTGTAAAAAAAGTGGGGATGTGGTCTCAATGGCAATATAATCCTGGACGTTTTTTGAATGTCCAGTATTCGACGTCCAAATATATTCCAGAATTGGACGTCCTCTGAATGGTCAAAAGTGTGCCATTTTTTTACTTCACTAGACGTCCATTGGATGTCGGAAGTCCAGAAAACTCATTTTTGGACGTCTAGACATCCAAAATTGTATATTGAATGAAGCCCAATGGACATATTTGTATTGTTTGGGTGATAGCCAGGCCAGGTATTTAACTCTAAATACATAAACCTTAAATGATATCTGGTTTAACTTGGCGAGAAAACACTTGTTTCTACAGAAATGAGCGATAAACTTGAAAGTCCTTTTAATATAATATAAATCTAGAAATTCTAAAAATATGTAAGTACTTTTTAAACCTAAAAGCTTTGAAAATATATGCACATTGCAAATATTTAGTTAAACCTCTCAAACTTAATGTCTTTTTAATTATTACCTAAATTTTTTTGGTACCCTTAATTTTATTTACCTTATTTTTACTTAAGGAAAAGGTAATTTAAATATGGGCCTTTTATTACATTTTTAACAATAAATAAACCAAATATTAAACAAATTTTATAGATAAATTATAAAATAATAAACGTCTTTTACTTTTATAACAAATAATTATTACATAGTGAATTATATTTTGGTGCCGAAATTTCACCATTGCTATTAACCCTAACTACTTCAATGTAATTAAATCACATTGCAACATTTGCGCATGGACTATAACAATAATTTCAGATAATTTGCCAAACTATTTCGCTCAGTGTAGAATATAAGCATGTTTTTCTCAGCGTGCTAAGTTGTGCAAAGTCATGCTGTGAAAAAGTTACATCCGATATCAAAGGCACCGACACTTACTGTCGCTTCTCCTTGATCGGTATTCTCGGGTGTAGCCGTCAATTAAGAATTCGCTGGATAAGTATCCTTGCTGTAAAATTACAATATATACTAATACAAAATTCCTAATCAATTAAAATACATACGACATGGCTATGATTAAATAAATTCTGATTTATCTGTCAAACGAAAAGGTTTATTACGGTGAAATTTTCATTTTAACTACAAATAAGCATTGAAGAATGAGGTATACCTCTTGAACCTGTACTACGTTCTGCAATTTAAATTACTGCACTCCTTTCTTCTGTAGACTTTAGATATTTGCGAAATAAGATTTGGTAGCCATCGTGGTAACCATAGTTGATAGATTTAACCTGTAACAAGTGCACAGAAAGAAAACATCTTAACGTAAAAAATGTTTATTAACAAGTTGTATAATACACGTCACTACACCACGCTACCGTTGTTTATTTTTCACTTTTTCTCCGCCTCGCTTCATATCTTCAGCGTCCTTTTCAAATATTGACTTAATTTCCACCAACCTCCCGGCTTTCGCATGCGCTTGCGCAGCAACCGCCTTCTGGAACATGCTATTCGTCACATTCGGCGCGGTTTGAATCGATAACAATCCCCAATTCAACGATTTTTCGTTAGATTCTAAAACCCACGCTGCGTTCTTAACTTCGCTCTTAAATCTTGTAACTTCTTCGATGCTGACGTTCCTACTGACGTTTAAACCCCTTTCCAGCGGATTGATGATGTACATGGCCGTGTGTTCGGGTTTGGCGATGACCGCGGTGTCGTTGAGACATACGGCTTTGTTTTCGAAATCAAAGTGGGCATAGTGGACGAAGAATTCGATCAGCAGTTCTTCTAGTGTGTCTGTATTTTTGGTTTCGTGTTTGTAGTTAGTTATGTCTCGTAGAAAGGTGCAATCGGTACCGTCTTCTAGAAGAAATTGGTCGTTTTTTCCTAAAATAGAAAAATTGTAGTTTTTTTTTAAGTATCTCATCAGAATGTACAAACCTGCTAATTGTCCTAATTGATTTAATGTCGGTAATACAGGCTTGCCGCTTTGAGGGTTCTGAAGAAACGCCAGCACTAGCAACGTCAATGAAAAATTGGAAATCCATCTTCCCGGAGCCGAATTCGTTATGCCTACAATTTTAGCCCAATTTCTAATTGCAAAAATCAGAGGTCGAACTCTTTCGTCCAGTTCGCCCATTATGTACAGGAAATCAGACATGTGAACCCCAGACCTATAAAAATTTTATCGTTGGGCGCCACTTTCTAACATAACTAATTATAATAAATATTTATTGCGTAACTTACATGTTTGACATTGAAACGTCGCATTCCACATCAGTCAACTGCTGATGGTACTTAATAATGGGCACAGCGGCCTGTAGAATTCTTCTAACTTGGCCGCAACCGGGTAAAAACAGGTGAATCATGTCGCCAATGGCTTCCATATGCCTTTGGGTCATCGTTCTTTCTGAACCGTTCAACGGTTTACAATGGAACACCAATCTACCGTCTTCTTTCTTCTAAATTACAATAAGTACAACAAGTGAATACATTTGAATATTTGGGAGTCGAAGTACACAAGTATGGAAAAAATAATAATAAATAATGGACGAATTAAAAATCTCCTTAAATATTATATTATGCACTAACTAATACTTTTATTCGTAAAAAAGAAGTGTCAAAGAAAACGATAATGACAATGCAGCTGGGTCCTAACAAAAAACAAGACAAAAAGAAGATTACAAACAGTTGAGATGAAGTATCTGAAAGCAATATTAGGAATCATTAGAAGGACAAAATTCGAAATGAGTACATAAAAACGGAGCTAGAAGTAGAACCATAGAAAGAAATCAGTTAAGATGGTTTGGCCACTCAATACATATGCAAAATAAACAAGAAGCAAAAACTATATGGTAAACAAGAATATCTGGAAAAAGACTAAAGGGAAGACCAAAAAAACCTGGGATAATGCAGTTGCGGAAAACTATTCAAAAGTTTAAGCAACCAAAACGTTAGCTTAATAGAAAATTTAGAAAATGTAAAATATGTAGATATTTAATGAACATAAATTAAAAAAAATAATGGTTCTAAATTTAATAGTTAGCTCTATTAACTATTAAATCAAATCTATAGCATAATAAAAAATTAGAAAATGTAAATCATTTAGATATGTAATTAAAACAAATACGTTTTAATATACCTAAGGTAATTAAATTTAAAGACGATTTACTTGTCATGGTTCTCAAAATATGTTTATTGAGTATTTTAGGTGCAGAAACTATTAAAAACAGTCAATTTCATATAAATAACTTGCCTTATCATCAGTTAATCTTAAAAAAAGATCGAGATCGCAGCCCATTTTGCCATATCCATTGACGCTAGATCCAAATGGGTAAGCTATGGCCGATGGGAACATTCCTGTTACAGCGTCTTCTATTTGCAATGCTGTTAAAAACCTTAAACGAGTACCGACTTCATTCAATTTTGTCAGTTCGTGGAGACTTTTGATTTGATCTGAAACCTACAACTGGATTATTATATATGGTGCTTCCACGGAAAATGCGCTTGTGCAAGAGTAGATAGACACCAAAGTAAGTATCAATCAATCAAAATAGCTTTATCATACGAAGATTTACGTCTCATTTACAAAGCAAATAACACATAAAAAGAAAGAAAACAGTATAAAATATAGAGTATAAAATATGAAATATAAAGGTTCTTTATATTTCACTCTATTTCGACACTGTTAAATTGTTATTTACATTATTCTTAAATTACCATATTTTGTGTTTCCTTGACAACAGTAAAAATGTATCGCAGTATTCCTAGATTTAGCGAAGGCTTTTGACTCAGTACATCTTTAAAAATTAATAGTGTTAGAGCGGTATGGAATCCGTGGTACTGTGTTAAGTATTTTTAAAGAATATTTAAATGACCTTTCACGATATGTAAAAGTCAATAGATGTTTAAGTGAACCGGAGCTGGTGAAAGGATGTGCCTCAAGAGACAATACTAGGGCCTATACTTTTCACAGTTTATATAAATTCTAGACATAAATAGCAAACTAGTGTCATACGCTTTCAAGAAGATATGAATGTCATAAAGTTGTGGTTGGATGGGTATATCAGCTGTCTTTAAATGCAGATAAGACCAATTATATAGCATTTACCATTACAGATATAAATAGACCTAATTTCACAACATTAATAATAATGGAATTGGAGCCATAAAAGAAGTTGAAAATACTAAATATTTAGGAATTATTATAGATAAAAATATAAAATGGAATCAACATTTAGCATATTTAACAAAGCGAGTGAGAAAACTAATATACAAATTTTATCAGTTAAGAGATATTTTGAAAAAAAGTCCTTCGTGGATTCACTTTTAAGATAGGAAATACTGGTTTGGGAAGCATTATATCATTATTCATTAAAAGCTTTATCTTAGGGTTGGCAGACGTCCTGCTTTACGCTTAATTGCCCCGCTTTTTAACTTGCTGGCATGCATCACGCCAAAATACGAAAATGTCACACTTTTTACCTAAATGCCACGTTTTTTATTCAAATGCCACGCTTTTTAAATCCAAAGTTATAAATAAAGACATTAAAGAAGTTTTTAAGAAGTAATACCTTGATTTTTGAGAAGCATTTTAAAAATAATATCTCTCATAATATTGTGATTCGTAGTAGTATAACAAATAAATTGCTGAAGTACCTAACTCTAATAAAAATACAAGATTTGCTTACCATCTAGCCTCAAAGACTTAATTTGGACTAACTTTATTACCTTGGAAAATTCAAAACTGCAAAAATGTTCATTTCAATCTAAGATATTTATAAATAATTATTTATCCTTTATAAAACTAATTATTAACTAACTTACTTTATTGTGTATCTTAAGATTTATTTAAAATAGTATAGGAAAGATATCAAACTTGTTGAATTTATAAACAAAAAAAAAACAAAACAAGTGTTAAATTACTCAGGTACAATTTTATTAAAACTAATATAGTATAGGTATATCACCATCGACATGATATTTCATTAAAAAACACAAATTCACTTAGAATAACAATATTGTAATTTAATTCCATAGGATAACTTGTTATTTCTGAAAAACAATTACAGCTCTGGATATGATTGTCATGATTAGTGATTTTGTTTGAGTTAGCACTATTAGAGGCGGCAGGGGCGGCTCGTGGGCACTAGCGGCAGTGGGGCACACACTGGAAAGGAATCCGTTTGACCTGTACACCCTCAAATTTTCGAGAAAACTTTGAAAAACCGAAAAAAAAAATGACGAAAATCGGCAGATTATGTCCAGTACTAACATGACTTCCATATTTATTTATAATAATAAAAATTACATGGTACTGTCATATCTATTTAAAAAAATCAATTTTATTCACAATATCACAACTATAATACAAGAAGCCAATCTGATTTTTATATAGGGCAAGTCATTACAAAAAGTTCCCAAAATACAATTTTTAATTAAGATTTGCAAGAATTTAATAGACTGCCTACAGAAATTAAAAACAAAACATCAATAAATGTATTTGAAAGTAATCTCAAACAATACTTGATAAATAAACAGAATTGAGATAATTTCTTGTGTTTAATGATCTTTAAATCTGCCCTTTTTTAGTATTTCTTTTTATTTATTGTTATTTTACCCATATTATAAATTATTTCTGTTTATTTTACTTTTCAATTTTCTTTATTTTATATGTATATTTAACTACCAATGTAAATTAGCAGTTGCGCTAAATAAAGGATTAATATATAATATAACTTGGTAGCAAAACAAAATAATTTCAAGTAAACATGCTTACTAAATCTTCAGTATTTTTTATACAGTTAGTAATAATTTATTAACAATATGAGTTATCAAAATATCTATTACTTACACTTTCACATTTACTTAAAGAGGTCTTTATTTCTTCTTCAACTTTAATTTGTGTACCATGCTCCACAAATAATTTGGCAGACTTGCTTTGTTTTAATTTGATTTTTTTACTAGCAGCTTTAAACCACATAAAATGAGATTGTGTAGGCATCGCTGAATGTCCTTCAGAGTATATACTGCAACTCATTAAAGACTTAACATCTTCCTCTTTAGCAAACTCTACAATAATGAAGTGCTAAAATTATAAAACTAAGTAGGTAATGCAAAAAAAATTGGTTGGTTCATTTTTACCAATGGTTCAATTCCAATGCTATAATGAAACATATATTTAACACTTCCTATAGAGTTACAATAAGACCACAGTTCTTTGAAAGACTGTGTGGATTGAACTTGAACTATTATACTTCTCCTGGCTTCTGAACGTCTTATGTTAATCGTCTGCAGAAACGGTACGAATTTTCCTGTCGTTTTAACATGTTCTTCCTGTTTTTCTACTTTTTCTGTAAGATGATTGCTATCAAATAAACAATAACATAGAATATAATTAATAACTATTTAAAACTCACTGTTCACTGAGTAATGCCGAACTGTTTTGTATTTCGTATATTTTCTTAATTGTGGAAATAAATATTTCGTTTTAAGTATATTATTTTCTAGAGTTTTTAACTTATAATATAAAGAAAAATAATTGGACATCCTTCTTATAGATAACATAACCTAAAAAAATGTCAAAAATTCAAAATTATCCTGCTGATTGAAGTTAGCAACAAATTTTCGTCTTTCCATGTACCTTGTACCCTTCCTTCTTCGTAATAAGACAACCTTATTCTTATTTCTTCTTTCTCCTACATATTAAAATATTAATTATTGTTATGGCGACTTATAATACATGAGCTCAAACCTGTTTATTTTCAAATAACGTAGATCTATTGTAAAGCACATAAAATATACAATATAAAAATGAAGCTTTGAAAATACTGATGTAGCTAGCTGTGTATCTAAACCAGAGGCTCATTAGGATTAGGAAAGAGGAACAATAATTCAATAACATAACCTCCCTTAATTTGTGTATAAGCTTCAAATCTAAACGGATGAAATCAAAAAAATGCAGAATAAATCGAATACTCCTACCAAATTTCGACCTTTACAGCGTAAGTTTCAATTACTAATAAGGCTTTAAAGAAAATACATAATTTTCATTTTATTTTCAAGTTCCTCAAAGTCCAGTGGCTTCTTCTCCAGGTAAAAATTTAACTGGCTCTCCTAGAGTAGCTAGAGATATTGTAGCCGATCTTTTTAATACAATACAAAATTGGAATGATTCACACATTAAAGGAGCTCAAGTGGTTAAACAAATCGCAGAATTGAAAGCCGATAATATAGATGAGTATTCAGATGAGCTAGAAGATTGTACAAATAACCTGTATAATCTAGTACAAAACTTGAAATTGTGTAGCGAGCATTTAAAAAAATTTAAATCTCAAATATCTGCTTTACACAAAATTGAAAGAAAAAAGGAGCCCTTGTTTATATCTTTAAATGTAGGAGACATTGGTGTCTTTGTAGAGACTGTAGTTAATGGTTATTTAGAAGAAATTAAGGTAATTTGAGTCTGTAAACTTCAATTATTGATTCTCACCGTACTTTTACGTTTTAATTCGCAGATATGCTTTCCCGAGCTCGGCTGATGGAGGCGCGCACCTCTTTCAAACGGCCGTCCTTAAAGGGTTAAAGCAATCGTGAAAGTGTTCAATAATAATTAAAACTCTTAATTACAGGTTAAGGAAGTAGTGCTTGAAAATATAGCTCACAGTAAAAATAAAGACGAAGTTATGTTTTTCGCTGCATGTTGGATGCATCAAACTAATATAACCAGTCATATAAATCTCAAATTGGAGGCTTTACTTCTTGAAACTGGTCACCGAAAAATCAACTAAAATATAAATCCATCAAATCTTTATGAATACTGTGATATGTTTTAAAAATAAATATAATTTACAAAAAAAAATTGATTTTTCTACCATAAAAGTTAAAATGAGTATTTAAAACATGTTTGCAAATGCTTTAATTCGCAGGCCAAAAGAAAATGTTATTAGATGTGCCAAATAGAGGACTTCTATACAAGAGAAGGGCAACCAACTTGACAAAATAAAATTGACACTAATGACATAAGAAATCGGGTCACATAAAGAGGCTGTTTTTGGTGCGTTTGATTTGATCATCGGAGATCTCCGAGCGCTTCAAAAGTATTTGAATTGACACTCCGAGAGATCCCTAAAGTGTTTGTTTCGCTTGGGAGCGAGAACATAGAGCGAGCTCGATGTTCTCAGAGCAGAAAGATCGAGAAGAGGGAGAAATTTGTCTTTGTCTCTACCTATCTCTTTTTAATAACTTACAAACAAATTTGAATCTCAAAATTAAAGACCAGACAAGAAGTCAACAAATTACTTAGCCGCGTTTGTCTTATAGCTAAAATTATTCATCATAAAAAAACACAAAATGTGTATTTGGAAAATACATTTTTTCTGTCCAGATCTAATCACCAGTAATCACAGTCATGGAGTATGAGAGCGAAGCGAGCATTTGTGGTAAATGCTGCATTTCAGGGCCATTACCCCCTTATTATTAAAAGTTTTTCCATTTTCTTTACTTTTTGCTCACTATTTTAACATACAAAATAGAAACAAGAATCACAGAAAAGCGAGGTTATGTTTTTTACTCTGTTTTATTTGATTTGATTCAATGCTCTATTGTGACGTCATCACTTCTCGGTCTCCTCGACGCTCGCTCGATCGAGTTTCAAATCAAACGCCCCTTTTTTAGTTTGATTTTTGGTTTTTCCTATCTTCTTTTATGCCATTTGCATACCTTGTTGTACCCGAAACGTGAAAAAGACTTTTTAGTTTAGGGTATTTTACATTTAAAGGTTGAAATATTTTGTCATTGTCAGCTGTCAATTATGTTGATGATAGAACACAGGCGTAACGATAGATGGGCATAACGTAACTAGTATTGTATGTTGGTTGTATATTGTATAGAACTTGTATTCGTAGCACCAGCATTTTGCAATCGACATAAATAAATAAAACCTAATGAAAAATAATGTTTCAAGAAAGCAGGAGAAACACAATTAGACTATTAACAACAAAAAATAAAATGCAATGCTACGCTTATGTTTTGACATTATCGACAGCTGATATTGACAAATGTTTTCAACCTTTAAATGTAAAATACCCTAAAATAAAAAGTCTTTTTTACGTTATGGGTACAACATGGTATCTAAACGGCATAAAAGTAGATAAGAAAAACCAAAAATTTAACAAAAAAACAGCCTCTTTATGTGACCCGATTTCTTATGTCATTAGTGTCAAAAAAAATTTGTCAAGTTGGTTGCACTTCCCTTGTATAGAAGTCCTCTATTGAGATGGGACGATATATCTAGAAAAAAGAAGAATACTGAACTACCCATCCCTAAAAACTATATTATTGTTAAAAAAGAAGAAGTATGGCACGTTCCTAATAGGGAGAAGACCGTTATTGTTATTTAATAAGAAGAACTATAAATAATTTTCTGTCCTCTGTCAAAATAAAAAACTGTCTTTCACAAATACAAAATGTCGAAGAGAGGTATGTTTTTAAATCTATCGAATTAATCTTAAATAATTGATATCATCTAAGCGTTTATTCCATTAATTCCTTCTTGTATCGACAGAATAAATACCTATTCAGTTTTTCCATCGCTTATTTTCTCAATAATTCACCATTAATTCGTATTATTTGTTGTAATCTTTATTTGTATAGGTTATGTTATCGTTCTTCATAACTTCTTAATTTTTAGGTCGTGGAGGTTCCGCGGGGGCCAAATTCAGGATATCCCTTGCTCTGCCAGTTGGGGCCGTTATTAACTGCGCAGATAACACAGGTAAGAAAATTTCAGAATTCTCGTGATAATCAATGAAATGTGCAATATCTTTGTTCGAGTTGACAAGACAACCACAAATTCCACAAAATAAATTATATTTTGTTATTTTTGTTTTAATTATATTTGTAGATAATGTTGGTTATAAAATAATTATAAATCCGTTATAATTTCTTATCCAAAACATACCGTGTCATTCTGCTTTGTTTATGTTGAACTCGAACTGAGCGTGAATTGAATGTAGTTTATAAATCCAGCTTTAGTGCAACAGTTCGTATTCTCGATTATAACCTTACATTTTGTTTTTAGGAGCCAAAAACTTATATGTTATTGCCGTACAAGGTATCGGTGGACGACTGAATCGTCTACCAGCAGCCGGTTCTGGGGACATGATCGTTGCCACAGTCAAAAAAGGTAAGCCAGAACTCAGAAAAAAGGTTATGCCTGCGGTGGTTATCAGGCAGAGGAAGCCTTTTAGAAGGAAGGATGGTGTGTTCATTTATTTTGAAGACAATGCAGGTGTTATTGTAAACAATAAGGGTGAAATGAAGGGATCTGCCATTACCGGCCCAGTAGCAAAAGAATGTGCAGATTTGTGGCCCAGGATTGCATCAAATGCCAGCAGCATTGCTTGATTATATGTTTAAGAAAATGTTTAATAAAAAACAAGAATGTTATTCTTAAATTTTGTTTTATTTATAAAATAAAAAGAATATCTAGATTACAGTGCTTCTAGACTGGAAGGTAGATTAATTAGGTAAGTATGCAAGTAAACCAAAAAAAGAAATCTTAATGTACAGTTTCTGATAAATGAGATTTACAAAGAATATGTAGAATACAGTGCTTCTAGACTCTAAGGTAGAATAATAATAATTTAATTAGGTAAGCATGCAAGTAAACCAGAAAAAGAAATCTTAAAGTGAGTTTTACCTCTAACAATTTTAATCAATTTTCAAATTAACAGATCGTCATTAACTAGATGAAACGGTAGATTAGGGAAAATCATACAAAAATATTTCAGTTTGTTTATTTGCTGCGTTTGAGAATCCTCCATCGGATGCATTTTTTACATCTCGAGCGTTTTTTTATCCACATCTGTCCCATTACATTTACGTATACTTAATCACGTGATCAAAGATTTTTTACATCTCAGATGCATCCGATGTGGATTCTCAAACGCAGCAATTATCGACGAACTAATTTTTTTTTGAAAATTTGAACTTATTTCACTAACTCCAATTTTATGTTATATTAAATTAATCAAGTTTGCATTTTTTTGACACTAATTAAATTATACAAATACTTTTCAATTCTAGATTTTAGAGTAATTATTTTTATAACAAATAAATGTAATTTGACCAATTCTCTTTTAGGTCTGATGCACTTTAGATAGAGAGGTTTAAGATCAAATGTAATATAGACCAATTGGTTTTTAAATGAAATGTATTTATAGTTTATACCAAATTGATATGAAACTATTTTTTGAGACTAATTTCCTGGGAACCAACGAAAATATGTAAAAAATAAATGTCCAAATTTCAATAAGATCCAGGGGCAATGGGCGCATATACGTAGGAGGGTAATGGGGGTAAATACCCCCCATGAATTTTTAAACCTAACTTTTTACTAAAATGTTTTATTATAAAAAAAAAAGTCTTAAATCTTACCATTACCCCCCCAGACTTAACATTATTATCACCCCAGACTCTGGATGCGCCCTACTGATACGATCACTATAAAAACTTTTTATAATTTTAACTTGCTTTAAATTTTAACATATTTCTACCCTATTCTTAAACCTGTCTTAGGGTCGATTCCACCGTTGTGTTAAACGAAGTTTAAATTACTAAATGAAGATTAAAATGACAATGTTAATATGTAATTTTAATCTTCGTTTAGTAACTTAAACTTCGTGGAATCGGGAATCGGCCCTTAAGCTCTATTCCAAGCAGAATAGTCAGTACCCAGTGATCAGACCCAACTGTATGGCGATCAGCAATCAGTGATGATTGTTGGAACAGGCTTATGTCATTGTCATTAGATATGAATTTCTAGCCTAGTTATTAAAGGTCAATTTTGCTACATGGGTTTGGTAATTTAGGAATTATTCAGTTTCTTTGGGAATTTCTTTGGCTTTTGTTTTCTGTTTTAGTTTATGTAAGGAAGGAAGTCTACAGTTTTGATGCTCAATTTTTTTATTGTGTGGATCAGAGCATGAAGCAATTAATTTAAATGGTGTATATACTGTATTCGATGAGTTAATTATAGCATGAATGCCTCTTGATACTGTAGAAACATTTTTCCTGACGTATGAGATTACTTCAGAACTCATACCATTTAAAACTACTAACTTTTTAAGATTATCAAGTTCCTGAAGTACAGTTTCTGTTGCCAATTCTAAATTTTTTACTTCTGCTAGACCCTGAAGATGACCAGTTATATGTTCCAAATCACTTGCATTGCTGTTGGTATCCTCTTCATGGAATATAACATTTGATTGTATGTTAAAGGATCTCTTAATATTATGTATATCGTGAACTGTAGTGTAACTTAATCTGTTGTTACTACTAAATTCATCTGCTATATCTTGTATAATCCTTTGACTAGGAATACCCTGTAGAAGTTTTACTGCTATATTTTGCCGTTCATTGTAAGTAAGATTAACTCTGCCTACTTCTAAATCATGTCCGATATGAGTTGAGAAATAATCAACTTTGACTCTGTCCTTATGGCTTATGGTTACCACCAATCTAGCAGGACAATTGCTCCCAATTTTATTGCTGCCTTTTACTTTTAAAGCTTTTTTTCTGGTTTGTACCCTGGGTGTGTATGTCCCTGACCGATGGCAAATATATTTTACAATTTTCCTATCTTTCACCTTTCGGGAATTCATTAATTTAAAAAAACATAATTTTTCTATTTCCAATTTCCATGCATTAAATTTTTCAATGGTTTCAAATGAGTATTCTTCTTTTTTAAGAAATTCATTATGAATAGATGTCAAATGCTTATCCAATTCACTGTAGTTCTCAAGCAGCATTGTGCACAAAGGACATTTTAATGATAATTTTGTATTTTTTTTGAATTGTTTATGAATTCTTTTCATATGCTCATTAATGTTCGATTTTGTGGTGAAAGTTTTTGTACATATTGTGCAAATATACTTGGTACTGGTATTCCTGAAACAAAGAGGGAATAATTAATTACTATATACCTAAGTTGTATAAAAACCTCTTTATTATTAATCTTTTATTAGGTACATTTTGTGTCAAAATAAAATGCTGCATGGTTAAAATAATTCTTCACCAAAAAATGCTTAGTTATTGTTGTTAATGTTAATAATACGAACTTACTGTTTTTCTTTTTCTGAATCCATTATTAACTGACCAAACAAGCTCGTCATAAGTAAAAATATAAAATCTTGAGATTCTTGAGTTCCAATTCGAATGCTGAAAAACTCCTAAGAAAGCCAGTGTTGCCGCACCAATTAATTTTTTCGTAATAGAATTTTGAACCAAAAGGTAATAAAATCGAAATAGATAATATTTTAAAGTAACATAAACGTACCAGAACTATTATTAAATAGTTAAATACATTTAACAATAAAACTTTAATATTATTTACGGCCATACGGGCCATATGCAATGCACCATTCTACTGTTAATAGTTATCAGAGAGTTAACTACATAACTGACTGTTAAATTGACAATTTTGTATTCATCATTAAAAAATACAACAATATTTTAAAGGCGTTGTAACAAACCAAATTTGGCCTGTTAATTTTGCCTGTTAATTTTACTTATCAGACTGTTTTTATTTTGCTTGTTTGTTTTGAAGGGCCAGATAAGGTTTTATAAAATATGGACAGTAATATATACGTAACACGCGGAATACACAGAACGATGTCTGTCGCTGACTACACTTTTCTTTAACCAATCATCAACCGGTATTTTTGACAGGATAGGAGAATACACGTTGATGATTGGTTAAAAGGAATGTGTCGGAAAGTGTAGTCAGCGACAGACATAGTTCTGTGTATGCCGCGACAGACTGATTTCTAACTGAAGATGGCAAATAGATGATGCATATCAAATTCTGTTAACACACTGTTATTTTGTACTGCTAGATAACAGAGGACTTAACTGGACAATGAACCTAAATTAGTTACTCGATAATAACCGAAAACCGAACGGTGAAAGAGTAAAATGTACTCCGAGAGTAACTTATCGAACACAACCCAGATATTACTGACAGTAAGTTGACAATTGACAGCAGTTGGCAGAATAATACGGAGTGGTCGAATCGCAGTGAATTTGCATCTTTTTTAACTCCATATAAAACCACTAGTCAGTAACCAATTTAAAACATTAAATTTAGATAAATATCGAAATGGGGTCCATAAAAGTTATAAGCGACGAAGCACATTTCCAAACCGAATTAACTAATGCAGCAACTAAACTCGTAGTAGCAGATTTTACTGCAACTTGGTTAGTTTAAAATCATTTAAATCTATGATGAAACGTACTTGTAGAAATAAAGTATTGATGTACAATTAACGTTTTTAGGTGCGGACCATGCCAAAGGATAGGGCCAGTCTTTGAGCAACTTGCGGTAAAGTATCCAAGGGCGGTATTTTTAAAAATCGATGTGGACCAATGTCAAGAAACAGCTGCCTCTCAAGGAGTATCTGCTATGCCCACTTTTATTTTTTATCGTAATAAGGTATTTCCGATTAATTCTAAAGATTTGTAATTATTTATATTGGTATGTTTTTTTATAGACAAAAGTTGATCGTTTACAAGGTGCTGATCCTACTAGTTTAGAAAATAAAATTCAGCAATATCTGGGTACTGATGATACAGAAGATGGGGAAAGTATTGGTGGACATGTAAGTACCTACGTTATATATTACACTGGCACACACAAAAAAAAGAGTTGTCAGTACTTTTGACGGGACTGGTATATCTTTATGTATTTCGACCCGCTGAATCCGAATCTGAGGTCCGTTTGACCCGTACACCGTCAAATTTTCCAGAAAACTTTGAAAAAGTGAAAAAATGACGAAAATCGGCAAACAAGGAAATCCATTCACTGTTCTACACCGATGAAGCACTTTGATGCATATGCATTTTGAAGACGCCATAAATGAGGAACATAAATATTGTTCTCAAGTTCATTGTTGTCAAATAAATACTCTACTGAACACCTGAGTAAATTACAATGACCGGTTAAGTGTGTGTATATAAAAACCTAAACAAGGTAAAAAGATAAAAACAAAAAGTACTCATTTAGCTTTATATATTTTTTTAAATTCTCTATCTTTCTTATTTTTGAGTTTTTTAAAAAAAGCTATTTGAAAAAGATGGTTATTTTAAAGCCTTCTATACACAAAAAAAAAGTTTTAACTTAGGATACTGTATATAGTATGTCCCCCTAAGTTGGAATCATATGGAAAACTTTTTTATTATTCATTTTAGGAAGAAAAGTTATTCTTCATAAAAAGTTCTGCATTATCTAACACCTAGAATACAGTCATCAAATATCAAATTTTTACTCAAGAGTAAAGTACCTTTAAATTTTACAATATCGAAAATTTTCATTAAGAAAATTGCTAAATTCTTCACAAACATCAAAAAAAGGAAAGCGTATCATGTTTATAGTAGAGAACAAATTATAGATTACCGTAATTAATTGGATCAATGCAAAATCTAGAAAAAATCTGATTTTTCAGATAGATCGGTGTAATTGCATATTTGAATGTAATTTTCAATTCTAATCAACTTTTCTTAATGAACATTTACGATTTTGTCAAAAATAAACGTACTTTACTCTTGAGCAAAATTCATATTTTTTGACAAACCTCGTATACGGCTTGAAAAATTTGATATTTGTTGACTGTATTCTAGGGTTTAGATAATACAGAACTTTTTATGAAGAATAACTTTTTTTCCTAAAATTAATAATAAAAAAGTTTTCCATATGATTTCAACTTAGGGGGACATACTGTATATACCGGGTGTTCAAATTAAAGTGTTACAGTTAAATACCGCCGAAAATATGCATTTTAGAAAAAAAAGTTTCAGACAAAAGTTTTATAGTTTTTTGGGGGAAACATTTTGGCCAAATTCATTTTTTTATAGCTGACCCTAATATGGCCATATCGAGGTGGACTTTGTTTTTTTAAATGGGAATCCCATTTTTCTTTACATATTCTTAAAGTACATAAAAAAAATAAGAAACTTTTGATAAAAATATTTTTTTTATTGGACTTTTACTTTTTGAGTAACAGTTACTTGAAAATTTTGCTAGGCGAAAAAAAAGTTGACCATATTATGGTTAGCTATAAAAAACGAGTTTAGCCAAAATTTTTTCCCTACAAAACTATAAAACTCTCGTCTGAAACGTTTTTTTTTTTATATAAAAGGCGGTATATAACTGTAACACTTTAATTTGAACACCCGGTATATACTTAAATAAATAGCTGCTCGTCCATGCACGAATCAAAGTACTTTGATTTCCACAGTACATACATTATAAATTGTAAATCTTATGTAGGATATAAATATTTTCCCATAAATATGAAAATATTATTTTTTCAAAAAATTTGACTTGAACCATTATAGTTGAGATGTGGGGTGTTAGCATTTAAAAATAGTTACAGAGATTTTTTTGACACCCTTGCATAAAAAATTTAGTCCCACCATCCCTCCTAGATGGAAATGGTGGGGGTGGCATACTCGAAAAATGAGGTTTGAACTTTTAACTAAAACACTTGGACTATACGATTTTTTCTACTACCAAAAAATTTAATTTTTTTCGACAAACATTTTTTCTTTAGGTACTTGAAAAACCTGATCTATCGTAGTTCTTGTAGTTACAGATGCAAGAGGCGATAAATATTTTTGCCAACTTTGTAATACATCTGATTTATTAATTTAGAATAGAATAGTGACACAACTCAAAAACATAGAATTTTGAGGACATCCATTTTAAAGTTTCTTGTTTCCTGTAAGGCTTGTCTTTATGTTGCATTTTAAAAATGTTAATTTTCTTTTTGGAAATAAAACATTAGTGTTCATCTTGTATTCAAACAATAATAAGTTTGCTTTGATAAAATTAAAAAATCCTTAATATATTTTCATCCTTTTTTTGAGTTATGGCGATCTTCCAGAAAAGTGTTTTTCACGCCATATTGATAATGACCTACCTTTTCAACAATTATATCCGAATTTGACTTGTGTCACTATTGAAAATAATATTTTTTTATGTATTTATTATATTTATGAGAAAATACCTCATATACTGCTCAATATCTTGACCCAAACTGCCCTACTCCTAAGAACTGCACCCGAACTATATTGTAGTTGCTCCGATTTTTTAAAATATTAATTTTTTTAGATGGACTTGTCTCCATTCATTTCCAAGGCAGAGTGTGAATGCCTAAATGAAAGTGATGATCATCCTTTTACACATTGCCTAACTTCTGGTGGAGGCTTTTTGCAATCAGATTGCGATGAACAGGTACATTTAATAATTTCCAATATTTTTTGTTTTAATTATTCAAAGTTTTAATCTTTTGCAGTTGATAATATCAATTACTTTCAATCAATCGGTGAAAATACATAGCTTGCGGATCAAAGCGCCATCTGATAAGGGCCCAAAAACAATTAGAATCTTCATTAACCAGCCAAGAACTCTGGACTTTGATTTGGCCGATAGTTACACCAGCATTCAGGATTTACAGTAAGTAGACATTAAAATTAATTTAGAGACTTCTTTTGTTAGATTAGTAGGATCAGGCCCGCAAGATTGCTAGATTTGAGATCCGTTGATTTTTTTTTTGGTGTTATTTTATAGCATTTCCGATCAATTATCCTTTATTAAAGCCAGTAGTTAAAATGTACAAATTTTCGGTAATTAAAGAGAGCAGTTCAAATGTTCAATCTTCTAAAATTTTACTTCAGATGAATTACAAATTATTAAAGATAGTTCAAATGTACCATGTTCTAGAATAATTCTGAATTATTAACAAGAGTTAAACTGATTAGTTTAAATGTACTATGTTCAAAAATCACGTTTATGATCAATTATCCATTATTAAAGACAGTATATATACTTCTTTTAAAAATTGTATTTCGGATAAATTTGTGGTAATTAAAGAGAGTAGTTCTAATATACCACCTTGTAAAATTGTTTTTCAAATAAATTACAATCATTTAAGTTGGCAGCTCAAATGCCCCATGTTCAAAAATATTACAAATAAATTACGTTACCGAGTAGTTCAAATGTACTTTGTTCCAAAATCGCGTGTCTGATTATCCGCTACTAAAGTGAGTAGTTCAAGTGTACACCTTGACAAAGATTACCGGATTTGAGACTCGTTGATTTCTTTTTGGTTTTGTTTCCCATCATTTTTTTATAGTTTTCCCACAAACACAATTTTCAATTTTATTTCATATAAATCGAGGTAATTAAAATTACACTAAGTAGATATTCAAATTAATTTGGGAGATATCTCTCGTCATATTAATAGGATCAGGGCAACAAGATTACCAGATATTTTAAATATACCTTTTTTAAAAAAAATCGATATTTCAGACAAATTTTCGGCAATTAAAGAGAATAGTTCAAATGCCCCACCTTCTAAAATTGAAATAAATTACCAATTATTAAAGTTAGTTCAAATGTACCAAAGTCAAAAATAATCCTGATAAATTAACAGAAGTTAAATCGAGTAGTTCAATTGCACTACTTTTCAAAATCGTGTTTATGATAAATTATCCTTTATTAATGACATCCGTTCAAATGTACCTATTTTAAAAATAGTATTTTGGATAAATTCTTGGTAATTAAAGAGAGTAGTAAATATATCATCTAAAATTGTTCTTCAAATAAATTACCAATAAGGTTAGTTCAAATGTACCAAGTTTTAAAAATATTAATAAGTAGTTTAAATGTACCTCTTTTAAAAATCGTATTTTTGATAATTAAAGAGAATAAATAGTGTTCAACCTTATAAAAATTGTACTCCAGATAAATTATTAATTAAAGTTAGTAGTTCAAATGTACCACGTTCACACATTTTATGGATAATTTAAAGGGCAGTTAACTGAGTAGTTTAAATGTACTACGTCTGATTAATTGTCCATTATTAAAGGTATTAGTTCACTTTATAGATCGTATTTTCGATAAATTTTTGGTAATTCAATTGAATAGATCAGTAGATCAGGGAAGCAAGATTAACAGATTTGAAATCCGTGGATTTGTTGTTTGGTTTCGTTTCTAAATATTCGCCATAGTTTTTCTACAAAAACTTTGTTTCATATAAATCGAGGTAATTAAAATTACAATAAGTAGACATTTAAATTAATTTGGGGATATCTTTTGTCATATTAGTAGGATCAGGCCACCAGATTTGATTTCTTTTTGGCTTTGTTTCCAACCATTCTCCATAGAAGAGAAAATATATTTATTGAGTTTTCACTGGAGTCTTTCGGCATATATTCTCCAAAGTTTTTCCACAAACACATATCCCAACGTTGTTTAATATAAATCGAGGTAATTAAGGTTTTTTTTTAGGTTGACTTCAGAAGACGTCGAAGGAAATCCCGTTAACTTGAGATATGTGAAGTTTCAGAACGTGCAAAACATCCAGTTCTTCATCAAAGACAATCTGGGCGGCGGAGAAGTCACCCAAATTGATCATTTAGCGATTATCGGTTCGCCCATCAACACGACCAACATGGGCGACTTCAAACGAGTGGCTGGAAAAAAGGGGGAGAGCCATTAATGTGCGATTGTCGCAAACAAAAAATTTTTTTTTAAATAAAATTATATAAGATCTAATACTTATTTGCATTTGTCAAAAAATAATAATTAATATGCATTTAATACAGATGAAGATGTTGATGGAAAGTATGTTGGTACGGTAAATCAAAGGTTGCGAGTTCGAATCCCTCGGTGAAGCGGAATTTTAAAAGTTTTCATTTTCATGCCTTGGTGTTCAGGTATTTATACCTGTAATGCCTATTTTTTTTTCATTTGTAGGCGCTAGTAGTAGTCTCACGTCAAATCAAAGATCCTCCGTACAATAAAACTGCTGCTAACGAATTATCAATAGCCTACACTTAATTTCTGAAATATGCAGTAATGATCGTCATGTCTCTTATTGACCTATGATCGTTGACGTTTGACAAACTTATGACGTATTATCATATGTATATTCTTGCCATATGATCGTTGACGTTTGACAGACGCCTAGTCCAACATTTTCGCTACTTCCAAAGGTTTTCTTTTTTGTATTTCTTGTTTTAATGATAAAAAAATGTTTGTTAAAATTTTTATACAAATGTAAACTCGATAATAAAAAATGTTAATAAAATATATTAAAACTTTTTTAAGCACTGCATTACAACGTTTCTTAACTTAGTTCTAAGGTTTTCGTCGGCGTTGCACACCACGTGCGTACTGTTGTCTTCTAATTGTATGAGGGCGTCTTCGTCTTGCTGAAAATTGATAATTTCTCCAATTAAAAATGTTGGTAAAGGTTATACTTACTTACCAGATGTATAACTATGACGTTTCCTCCTAGAGACTCCACTTTAGCGTCATTGACGCCCTCTTGCGATAATTTCTGCAAGAATTCGGTTATATTTAAAGATCCCCATTCGTATTTTACCAACTGATTGGGTACAAAGTCTCCGGATATCTCCTAACAAATGTATAAAAAGCATTTCATAAAATTTATAACAGCTCTGGTGAATGTTTGTTTTACCTGTACGCTATGAACGTTGTCTTTGACGTTTAGGGCTCCGGTTACGGTAGACAGACTTATTCCGGGTTTTACCTCGACAGGAACAATTTTTTGCGCAACGTTCGTGTCCATGAAGGCTTGACCTTGTTTCCTTTTTAACGGTAAGTTTATCACCTATAAAATTAGGATTCGGCAGCTGCGTTAAAAATACTCTTAATAAGTCTGTTCCAACAGCGGTACATAATCATTCTGAATTTCTATTTGTATTTTTTTTATTTAATTGGTACTACACATGCGCATACAAATTCAGAATGGTTCTGTGCCACTGTTGGATCAAACCTAATATAATATCACCCACCTCGCCCCATTTGTAGGGTATCACCGAACTTTCGACGTGAGATCCGATCACCAATTCGGTCAAATTGGGCGCCGACACTGGTGGTTGGGTGTAACATTCCGGTACGACTAGCGTTTTTGGTTTCAGATCCTTGATGAGCTTGTTGGCTTGCGTGAAATTCAACGACGTATCAATCGCGCAATGCGCTACTTTGATTTGCAGCGGCTGATAGGGCGCCAACGCTTCGATGTAATCGAAATCGGGTTCTAAAATGGCAAAATTATGCTAATTTTTTTTACGGTCGTTACAGTGATTAGTTTGGTCCTAAAATCGCATTACTAAATAGTTATCCGTTATTAAAATGAGTAATGCTAATGTACCGCCTTTGAAAATAGACTCCACGAAATTTATGCAATTAAACGTAGTAATAATAATAATACTCTCCCTAATTCACCCCCTTACGAATGAATTTTAACCCCAAAAGCTGAGCTTGTCTGGGGAAAGGGACTGCTATTATTATTATTTGCCGTGGCGCTTCGGGGCGACTTAAAGATGATCGATGGTGCCATTTGACTTACCATCAGTAGTTCCAATGTCCCAATTCTAAAATTGTACATCTGATAAGTAAGTAGTTCAAAATATTACTGATCAATTATCTATTATTTAAAATAATCTGCTGTACCACCTTTGAGCAGTATTTTTGATAAATTTTAAGAAAATAATTTGAGTTGTTTAAATGTATCCCGTTCAAAAGCTGTATTTCCGATAAAAGAACAACTAAAATGAGTAGCTATTTCAAATGTATATCCTTTTGAAAACAGTATTTCTTAGTAATTAAATAGAGTACTCCAAATGACCCCATTCTAAAATTGCACCTCTGATAAATTACTAATTATTAAAGTGAGGAGTTCAAATGTACTACGTTCAAATGTATCCCGTTCAAAAACTATTTACTGGTACTAAAGTGAGTAGTTCAAACGTACTTTAAAAAAACAGCCTTTATAAAAAATTTGCGGTAATTCAAATGTGCTATGTTCAAAGTGAGTAATTAAAATGTATCACCTTTGAAAAACTATTTCTGATAAATTTGAGGTAAATAAAGTGAGTAGTTTAATTTAAATGTATCCCGTTTAAAAACTATTTTCGTTAATTAACAATTAAAATGACATGATATTTCAAATTTACCTCCATTTAAAAACTGTATTTTTAAGGAATAATCGGTAATTAAATCGAGTAGTTCAAATATTCCCGTATAAACTTGTTTCTCTAATACATTACTAATTAAAGTATTTCAAATGTACTACATTCAAAAATAGAACAATTGATCAATTATCCGTTATTTAAAGTGAGTAGTTCAAATGTACCACCTTTGAAAGCAGTATTTCTGATAAATTCAAGTTAAGTAAAGTGAGTAGTTCAAATGTATCCCGTTCAAAATTTGTATTTCCTATAAATTAACAATTGAAGTGAGTAGGTAGTTCATGTGCTATATTCCAAACTAATATTTCTGATAAGTAGTTCAAATGTACTACGTTCGTTCAAAAATAGTATCTGAATTATCAGTTGTCTCAATTATTAGTCAAATGCACCACCTTTGAAAAACTTTATGATGAATTTGAGATAAAGTAGTCCAAATGTACCCCATTCAATAACTGTATTTTCGATATATTAACAATTATTAAAGTGAGTAGGTAGTTCAAATGTGTTATGTTCAAAACAATTATCAAAGTGAGTCATTCAAATGTTCTTTCTTTAAAAATGGTATTTCTAAAAATGCAGTAACTACATAGAGTAGTTCAAATATTCCTGTTCTAAAATTGTACCTCTGATAAATAACTATTAAATTGTAAATGTACTACATTTAAAAATAGTATGACGGTCAATTATGAATTTAAAGTGAGAAGTTCAAAATCTTTGAAAAAAGTATTTCTGATAAATTTGAGAATAGTTTAAATCTATCCCATTTAAAAGTAACACGTCCTAAAACTATTTCTGATTAAATAACAAAGTGATTATTAGTTCAAATGTGCTACCTTCAAAGCTATTGTTTCTGATAAATTTACAGGTGAGTAGTTCAAATGTACTATGTCCGAAAATTGAACTTTTGATCTATAAGTTACTAAAGTGAACCGTTTAAATGTATTTTCTTTAAAAAAGTGTATTTACTGAGAAATTGAGGAAATTAAAGCAAGTAGTTCAAATGTAATACTTTTTAAAACAGCATTTCTGATAAATTTGAGCAAGCTAAAGTGGGTAGTCCAAATATGATATTATGTTCAAAAATCGTATTAATAGTCAATTATCGAACAGTTCTTTAAAAACACTTAGAAATATACGAAAATTAGAGTAGTTCGAAAAATGTACTACCTACGTACTTTTGATCAATTATTCGTTATTCGAAAAGTTCGAATGTACATTCTTTAAAAACTATTGAGATTGTAAAAATTAAAACAAGAAGTTCGAACGTATCACCTTTGAGGAAAATATAATAATTAGTTCTAGTGTATTACGCTCAAAAAGGGTATTTCTGATTCATTAACAAAATCATATTAATAGTCAATTATTCGTCATTAAAGTGATTAATTTAAATGTACCGTTTTAAAAAAATCGGGTTTTTGATAAATTAACAGGTAAAAATGTAGTAGTTTAAATGTATTATCTAAATTTTACCTGTGAAAACTATACAATTTCTAGGATTATTGCCCCAAAGCTCGATAAATTGGACCACGTCTCCAAATCTTAAACTCGGATGTCCACAAAATACCACACAAGGCTAAAAAGGAATAATATTTATTTACCATAAGTAAGAACATTGATGTTGTTTAAAATACATTTTATATTGACCTAATACAATAAATGTAATAAAGCCTTGAAAGTAAGAATTAAAATAAATAAAGTGTATTGAAAATTAATTTTAAATTATTAAATGAACTAATATAAAAATTAATAATATCTGTGAGCTTTGTAAGATTAAAACAATATATTAAGAAAACTAAGAGCAAAAACAAAAATAGAAAATTCAAATTTTAACTATAATTTTTAATTTAAAATGTTAAAATATGTATTTAGTTCCAAGTGAGAGATTGTTTAAACCATTTGTACATTTTTTTCTTGAATATTATAGAGCTGTTTTTAATTTCATTTGAAATTATATAGTTAAGGAGCTAAATAGTGATAATGATTTTTGGTATGTAGTTTTTTCAGGCTTTGGTACTTTTGATGTCTTTTTGTGCCAAGTATTATTATGATTTATTGATATTAGATTAGATACATTGTTTAAGTTTGTTTAGTCTTAGTCGTGTAACAGGATAATTAAATAATAAAAAAATTACCTCTTGGAAATCGGTGCTGAACCCATCCGAAAAAATATGCTTGAAATGCTTGAGTTTGTTACTTTTCACTAAGAGAGCGTGTGGAAATGGCTCATCCGGTACATACACCTTGTTCTGCTTCACTGAAGACAACCACTCCGCCAGAATATTAGAATAAGCCAAAGACATGTCCGCTACGGGAGAAACGAAAAACATCGGACAATTCGACACTCCCAATTCCTGCATTTTACCAGACAAACACTCAAACAAATCGTATACAACCCCAGTTGGGTAACAGGGTATCAATACATTACCTCCACCTCTAAGTGTTAAACCTAAAAAACAAAATATTTTGCATACTTTTCGATTTCTTTACATGCAATAGAATAAGATCTCACCGACAACGACACATAGCACACCCAACATGGAATCCGGATTGCTAATAGGAGTTTGAGTGAGATCAGTCATAATTAATACATCCGCGTTTTTGAGGGCATGATGGTCCATAGGCCGCGGATGTGTGGTTAAGGTACTAGATCCGCTTAAATATACTATTTTCTCGTGTTCTGTACTTATAACCCAATTGGCGGAACCCAAACACAATCCCGAACTGGCTGGAATTACTTGAAGAGCTCCATATACATCCTAAAAGAGATATTTATGATACTAGCGTGCTAAAAGGTGCTTTTACTTTCCTGTCTGTATAAAGAAGAAAAGTATAAAATTATTATTTTGAAGGAGTTCGAGGTTATTTAACAAACAAGAAATAATAAATATGCGAAACTTAGGCAGGTATAGTTTGTGACGAGGTCTCGAACCTAGAGAAGGCTGTGGTGCAGTGGCGATTCTACTTGTAATAGAGAGGGCACCAAAACATCAATACCAAAAATAATTTAAACTTAAGCGTCTGAATACGAGGCTTTTTAATTCCGTTACTTTCATGATAAATAATTATTACGAAGATAAATAAACAACACCACACTAGATCAACATAGCAAAACCACAAAGCGATGTTGCCCAGTTTCGGATTCTAGCACAGCGTTTCTTAAACTGTGTTCCACGGAACCACATATCTCCCACATGTTACATTAAAACCATACTATTGAAACAAACTGGAGGATATTAAAAATGGTTTCATTTATCAAAGAAATTAAAAAACTATTACTGTTTTTATGCCCCTTTTGTACTAGTTTATTTATTTATTTATCAGGTCAATAACTGTCATTAGTCAATACTAATTGTTTCTGATTAATAAATTTGAAGGGTCCACTGCAAAAACCATCAAGGTACATTTTAGTTATTAATGCAATCTGTTGGTGTTTAGACAGTAATATCATGTGATAAGACGAAACATTAAAGAACTATTGCATACAAAAATCGGGCATACAATTGCAATAAACATCAGAGTCCAAACATTATTATTGCTTTTCTGAAAAATTTGGTTTCATTAAACTTGATGGTATTTGCTGTGGGCCTTTGATTTGCTTCATACATTTATGTGTTCTGTTTCAGAGATATTCTTTATTACATTAAGGGCAAAATGCTTGGATTATGTACTTAGCAGCCTGATAGCCCCAGCTACTTCCCTTCTGAAAACAACTCCTTTGGCTAATACCGCAACATGCATTGCATTATATCAAAAGGAAAATAGCAGAGATAAAACATAATTTTCAACAGTGTAACTTTAATTTTGCTTGCTTATCATTAATTATTATAATATCACATAAGTGAAGTAATAGGATCACAATAATTATTAATATTAAGTGCTTATAATTGAGATTTCTCTAAATATGTAAATATTATATTTGGGTAGGTAACTATTAGATAGCTCTTTTCTCTTCTCAGCTCTTTCTCTCTAGCTCTTTTTTTAAAGAGTAGTTTGTGTCAAAAATTGTAATTCATATAAATTACCAATTATTATTAAAGTTACAAGTTCAAATCACGTTCAAAGATAATCCTGATAAATTAAGGTGAGTTAAACGGGTAGTTCAAATGTATTACATTTAAAAATTGGGTTTCTGGTCAATTTCCATTATTAAAGTAAAATAAACCTACATTAAATACCATATTTAAAAAAAAAAAAAAAAAGAATGGGATAATGAAATAGAGTAGTTCACACATACCACCTTCATAATTGTAATTCATATAAATGATTAATTATTTAGTTAGTAGTTTAAATTTATCACATTCAAAAATATTCTGGTTAAATTATCCGGCGTTGAATCAATTAGTTCAATTGTACAATGTTCAAAAATAGCTTGTCTGATCAAGTATCTGTCATTAAAGCTAGTAGTTCATATGCATCTACTTTAGAAACATAATTTCAGATAAATTTGCGGTAATTAAAGAGGTTAGTTCAAATATATTACCTTCAAAAACTGTAATTAATATAAATATTACCAAATACTAAAACTAGTAGTTCAAATGTATCACATTCGAAAATAATTCTGATAAATTAAGGTGAATTATAGTGAGTAGTTCAAATTTACATTCAAAAATTGTGTTTCCTTTCCATTTTCATTATTGAAGCCAGTAGTTCAAATGTACCTACTTTAAAACCCGTATTTCAGATAATAGCGATAATAATTAAAATATACTACCTTCAAAAATTGTAATTCATATAAATTACCAATTAATAAAGTGAGTAGTTCAAATGTAATTTGTATAAATTTGTAAAGAGAATAGTTTAAATATACTAACTTTTAAAATTTCAATTCATATTAAATACCAATTATTAAAGTTAGTAGTTCAAATATATCACAGTCAAAAATATTCCAGTTAAATTACCAGGCATTAAACAGAGTAGTTCAAATGTACAATGTTCAAAAATTGGGTTTCTGATCAATCATCTGTTATTGAAGCCTATAGTTCAAATGTATTTCAGATGCATTTGCAGTAATTAAAAAGAGTAGTTCAAATATATGTTATCAAATCTTTTTGATCAATTACCTATCCATTATTAAAGTGATGTATTTTGGATACATTTGCAATAATTATAGAGAATAGTTCAAATGCCCTACATCTAGAAATATTCTGGATAAATTAATGAATTAATAGGTGTTAAATCAAGTAGTTTAAATGTTTTTCTGATCAATTATCCTTTATTAAAATGTACCTTCTTTAAAAAATTTAATTTCTGAAACATGTAAGATAATTAGAATAGTCCAATAAATTAAAAATAATTTAACGTTCTAAAAAATATTCCTGATACTAGTACAAAAGCAAGTAGTTCAAATGTATTATGTTCATAAATCCTATTGCTGATCAATTTTCCATAATTAAAGTAGTTTAAATGTATAATTTTTAAAACTTGTATTTCTTATAAAGTATTTGTAATTGAAGTGTGTAGTTCAAGTGTACTACCTTCAAAAATAGGAAGTTCAAATGTTCCACATTCTAGAACAGCCACAAAAAGGCGTTTTATATTTTATTGAATAAAACTTACCACTTTCTCATTATATCCGACCATTTGTATCCTTGATAAGCTAGCATTTACATTTTTCATATTATAAATCTGTTTCCATGATTTTGGCTTGAAAGCCTCATTCAAAGGATAGGGACATTTGTGTACAAAATTCTTCCACTGTGTAGCAAAACTAGATTTTGGACACTGTTCAATATAAATTACTATTTCTTCTAATAATAGTCTAAATACGAATAATATACAAATTAAAAATTATGTTGAAAAAAGAAATATTACAAATTTCTTACCTTCCAAATTGTAGGGTTGGTTCTGTAGCATAAACTGTACCTTTAAAACCTGTACCCTCTGTTACAAAAGGTAATGCCATCATACATAAATAATTTGATATTAAAATAACATCAACCTGTGAGAAATCTATTAATTTATCTAAAGGTGGGCAAAATTCTGGTGGAGAATCTACGAAAACTCTATCACCATTTTCTTTTAATTCCTAAAAGATATAACTATTTAAACAAGTACAACAAATGTATAGATATACGTACTCCTTCTAGATCTGGATCTGTGGTATCACTGGGCATCCAGTTTGGTAAATTCAATAGCTTATTCGAAGGTACGAATGATAGTGGTAAAAAGTTCAAGAGTGATTGCATAGAAAGACCGCAATCTAACATCATGGTTATTTCTCGAAAAGTTAGAATGTGGCATGGTTTGTTGGGATCGTTACTCAAACAATACTGCAATGAAACACATTTAATAAAAAAAAAAAAACACCTTAATATACTATAATTTTCCTTTGTAAAAATATGAATGATTTCAGACTCACCAATTTCATTTTAATAGCAATTTGAATTTATTAAATGTTTGTTTATTTTTTATACATTCTTAAATCTATTTATTCTTGATATTTATTATGCGGCAAACGGAAAAATTCAGTAATTCAAATAATAAATCAATACAAACAAACATAACCTCAACAATTTTTATGTCACATTGTGACTTCTTTATTTCAGAACCCTCGGTTATTTTGGCTTACCAGCCACTTTTGAAAATGTGCTTGCAAAGATTATTCTGCTGTTTATCTAAAGGCAGAATCCTAACTCTTGTGATAAATGATTCTAAATTGAATAGTGGTATAAAACGAATCAAGATAATTTTATAGTAATAATAATAATGATTAAAGACGGTTGTACGGATGCTTTATTAAGCTAAAGGCCTTTTGATTTGACGGTCAGTACAGTGTTATCGCATCTTTTATTTAAACATTAGACATACTATTTTGAATATTTTGCATTCCTTGTTTTTTGATTTACTTATTTTTAAAACTTGTCTTATCAAACTTTTTTTGAATATTGTTTTATTATTTCTTTAGAATTAAATGTAGTTATTTGTTTTAGAAATATACATTTTTTTTAATAATAAATCTACTGTAAAAGAAAATTAAGATTTGGCAACACTGTTTAAACACTTGTGATTGGCTCATAGTTTATTTTCGTATTTTTTTCTGGCTTATTTTGTTTAAATCTGGATATCTGGAATTGGAATCTGGATTACCAATAATAAAAGAATGACTCTCGTAGATAAAATTTCACTAGAACTTGGCGGTAACATAAACCCAAGAAGCTAAATTGTGTAAAACTTTATACTTTATTATTCTTTTTGTAGCTCAAGAACCATGGCCAAAAGATGTAAAGTTCTTTCAACCCCACGAAGTAGAACAGGTACTATTACCAGACAACGCTAACTGCTTAGCCACTCAAGCTTTTCTAAAAATGTGTCAGTTACCTTACATCGTGGAACCAAGGCCCAATGCAGAAGCCATGTCTCCTACTTTAAAAGTACCTTTCATAAAAGCAGGCAGGTTTGTAATAGCCGAACTCGAAGGTATTGTTCAGTTTGTTAATGGCAAAGGGATTACTTTAACTGAACCCTTGGATTCTGACCAAAAATCGAATATGCGGGCTTATATGTCTTTAATACACAGTGTATTGGAAATGGCTGAGGTATTTTACAATATTTATCTTTTAAATCCTATTATATTACACATTTTGTTGTAGTTGTATATTTGTTGGGTAGATGATGAAACGTATAATGAGGTGACAACTGCTAGAAATGGTTCAGTTTATCCGTGGCCATTGAATCATATTCAGAATAGAAACAAACGTAGTCAAGTTATTAAAAAGTTGAAAACTTTAGGATGGTACAATAAAAAATTGGAAGATGTTTATTCAGAGGTAGAAACCTGTTGCGAGTCCCTTCAAACTCGTTTGGATGGTAAAAGATTCTTTTTTGAGCATGGGTAAGGAAATTTCCGATTTTAAAATTATTTATCTTACTACAATGGTTTTTTAAAAAAAAGTTTTCCAGTTAAATATTCCCTGATAATTTTTTAATGACTGTCTCATTTAAAAATTTATTTTCCTCTAATTTTTAGAGACATTTTCATCCCAGAGCATTTTTTTTGGAATACATCTTATGGTCATTTTTCAAATTAAAATATTCACACCAAATGTCAAAATTTATCTTTAAATTAATAAATTTCTAAATTTATACTGAATTAGCCTAGTTCAGCCTGGACAATACTTTTATAAAATTTTAAAATTCAAAATAGAATTTTCTTGAAAATCATGAAAAATAAATTGATAGATCTCATCCTTTTTTGGCCAAAATGGTAAAACGTTTAAGGTATTTTTCATTGTTTATTTAATCTTAAAGATTGTGAGGCATTTCAAAATTATATTATTAATTTTCCAAATTTATATAGGAAAATCCTGTGCTATATTTTTTGGCAATATTTTTTGTCTGTATGTACCAGAAGCATCTTAAAATTTCCTTTAAACATGTCTGTTTTTTTTTACAAATCATTTAAACCATATGACTATATTTTTGCAGCTATGATAATTTTTCTAGAATGTTAATTAGATTTTAAATAGAGTTTTACTGAACTATATTGCGAATTTTCCAAATTTATATATAGAGTGTTTATTAATTGAGTGCCGATACTTAAGTGTGTGAATCCTTGGGTAATTTTAAGAAGGAATGTTAATATCAACATGTCATAAACCTCTTAATGTTTGAGTTATAGGGTGTTACAGTTTTAAGAAAAAAAAAAATAACTTCTTTATCATAATTTTCTTATCTCTCCAGAAATTTTTATGAAATTTTGTACACACCTCTTATTTATCAAGGATCATTTTTTGAGACAAAAGATTTTTTAAATGTTTACCATTGACGTCCACACGGGGTTTGAACTGAATTAATAAACACTCTGTATAGTTTTCCTGCACTATCTTTTTTTTATAGACCAACCGAACTGGACGCTCTTGTATTCGGACATCTCTTCACGATTCTCACAACTCCTTTGCCAAGGAGTGATTTAGCCAATATTGTTAGGAACTATCCTTCCTTGATTGATCTAGTGAAAAGGATCGAAAAGGAGTATTTTAAAAAAGCTGCTCAACAATAGTTCAACTATGTTATTAGGTACTTAATTAACTATATTTTAGTAAAAAGTTTAAATATTTATTAAAGATTATTTGTTTTAAATTGTTTGATCTCTACCTATACAACCCAAATTCCGAAATAAAACGATCAAAACTTTAATATAAAATGATAATCATACTTCTGATAAATTAAGGATTGTTACAGCAGGTGTTACAGCGAGTAGTTCAAATGTATCTCCCTTAAAAATCTTAAATGTTAAACGTTCTTAAATTGTACCTTTTATACATTAACACTTCTTTAAGGTATTAATTAGTTCAAATGTACACATCCGAAAAATATTATTTTTAATAATTTTTCCTCTTATTTAAATCTCACATACAAAAACATAACTATTTGAGTCGTTGAAAACACTATTTTTATAATTAATATGTGAGTAGCTCAAATTTTCCCTATTCTAAAATAATATCTTATTAAGGAGGTCCTTTCGCCACCAATGTTAAATAAAAAATATTAGATTATGACTAAAATTAATTTTTTTCTAATAGTAGATGTCCTTATTTATCTAATAGTGAACTTTTAACTATACCTTACCGTGCAAATTTTTGAGAATTTGTTTTTTTAAAATGTGCATGTTTGTACAGTGTCTTATGAGAAAGTAAGACTTCCAACAACAATTTTCGAATTATAATTAATTTTACTATTATTTATTGATTAGATGGAGTAGAAAAAAACTAAAAATAAGGTTTTTGAAATATTTAGGTTTTGTTTTTACAATAAAATATATAGGTTACCGTGGAATTTATTGAGAAATTATTATTAAAAAATCACAAAAAATTTTCAACTAGGTTACTTGAAAATTTTTTAATATTAATTTCTCAATAAGTTCCACGGTTTACTATATATATTTTATTGTATAAAACAAAATCTAAATATTTCAAAAACCTTATTTTTAGTTTTTTTCTACTCCATCTAATCAATAAATAATAGTACAATTCGAGAATTGTTGTTGAGGACTTACTTTCTCGTGAGGCACTGTACAAATACATTTAAAAAAAAAATTCTCAAAAATTTGCAAGGTAAGGTATAGTTAAAAGTTCAGTATTAGATAAATAAGGACTTCAACTATTAGAAAAAAATTAATTTTAGTCATAATCTAATAACTTTTTTTTTAACATTTGAGGCGAGAGGTGTGGCGAAAGGACCTCCTTAACAGCTTACTTAAGCCAGTATAGTTCAAAAAATGGAAACGTTTAAAAATGTTCTTTCTAATAAATTTTTGTGTTACAGTAAATAGTTCAAATGTACCACATTCAAACATAGTGTAGCTACTTAAAGTGAGTAATTTAAACATACATCCTTAAAAACAGAATTTTTGATAAATTTTAAGTACTTAAATCAAGTAGTTCCAATGTATCACATCTAAAAATCTAATAAATCTTGTATTAAAGTGAATAGTACAAATGGACCACTTTAAAAACAGTATAATTATTTAAAGTGAGTAGTTCAAACGTTTATACTTTATAAACTATCTGATAAATTTGTGTTAATAAAACGAGTACGTCAAATGTTTCCCGTTCTAAAATTGTACCTGTAATAAATTAACATTATTAAAGTTAGTAGTTCAAATATACAGTTTCAAAAAATATTTTTAATAAACTTCCTCATATTAAAGTGAGTAGTTCAAATGTACCACGTTCAAAAATCGTATAATTGGTCAAAATTAGTATAAAGGTAACATTTGGGAAGGCGAGACCGAGTAAGACAAGCGACCGGCAGCAAGCAGAAAATTATCGCCCTCCCAAATGTTTCATATAATTACATGTGTTCAGACGTGAAGAGACCGTTTTCGGTCTCCTTCGCTGTCGTTTTACTCGGTCTCGCCTTCCCAAATGGTAGGTACCTTCTTTGTAACTACATTCTTTAAAAATAGAATTTCTGGTAAATTTGAGATAAATAATGCCAGTAGTTCAAATGTTCCCGTTCTTAAATTGTACCACTGATATAAATTACCAGTCTTTCTGATAAATTATAGGTAAATAAAGTGAGTTACTCAAGTTTATCATGTTTAAAAGCCCCTCGATCCAAAAATCGAATTTCTGATAAATCGGTAATAAATTTATTTTATTTAAATCGGTAAAAATCGCATTTCTAAAAAACTGCGATTAAAGCGAGCAGTTCAAATGTTCCCGTTTTAAAATTGTACCTGTGATGTTACCATTTAATAAAGTTAGTAGTTCAAATGTACATTCAAAAAATATTTCTGATAAATTTCCTCGTAATAAAGTGGGTAGTTAAAATGTACCACATTCAAAAATAGCATAACTATTTACAGTGAGTAGTTCAAAAGGATATTCTTTGAAAACACTATTTCTGATAAATTTTATTCAAATAAACCAAGTAGTCCAAATGTATCACGTTTGATACTCCAACGTTATGATAAATAGGTAAAAATTCAAGCGAGTAGTTCAAATGTACCAATGTTATTTTATAAAAGGGAAGTATTGTTATCGTGAAAAAGTCACCTTCCGATATTATTTAAGATTTTCACGTTATAGGGACCCTAGATTACGAAAAACATGTTTCCCTATTCCGTCGGTCTGTCTGTCAAAAACGGCTTGATAGAAAAACTTCAAAATTTTGTATTCAGGTTCTTTTCCGACTCAAAACCAGTTATAGTTCCGAACAGTTATATACAGGGTGAGCAGTTTTTTCTTAAATTATTTTTAAAAGTCGGCTGATTTCGACTAAAATTGGTATCTGAGAATTTTAGAAGCCAAAAATGACAGATCCTAAATAAGTTTTTAAAAATTCAATATGGCGTTGAAAGGAATGGCATTTAATTAAAAAAGGAAATTAAAAAAATCGTCCATTTTGTTTGTGCAAGTGGACCATTTTAAAAGCAGCCAATCATTATTGTTTAATAAGGGTGAACTTGATGAAGAATACCAAGCGGACGCGAAGTGATTTTGATGGAGAGAGAAATGTGAAAAAGGGTTTTTGGTTTGGTGGTTTTAATTTTAAATTATTAAAATTTAAGTACTTAGGCGTTTCCTGTTTTTACAATTTCTATATCGAGGGAAGTTCTGGGTAAAATACTTTACCGATTATTTTGTTTTAAATTGTTTCTTGATTTCTACGTCCCATGTACCGAAATAAAACAACACAAGGTTCGTTTAAAAAACATTTTTATTAAAATGTTAAACAATATTTCCTAAAACATAACGTCGTTAGACAAAATGGTTACGAACCAGATTCTCATTGCGAATTATGTACAACATAACAATGAAATTGTGATTCAAAACCAATAACGACACGATGCTTTTATCGAATAAAAATACTAAAAACTAACAAAAAAAAAAGTATTCGTGTAGACTAAAATTTTCACTGAAACTTTACTGCAGTTCCAGGAAAAGTTTCCTACTCGACATTCAAATAAATCAGTAGTGAGAGGGATGTGGGATGCCAAATTCTCACATTTTCCAATTTTTAATGTAATTTTGCCAAACTATAATTTTTAACGAAATTTCTAATCTGTACTAATATTTTCCAGGACTGTAAGCAATTTTCACAGATTTACAAATTGTTGACGTAATTTTCCCAAATCATACTTTTGAATTAAATTTCCAATTTATAGTTAATTTTCTTGGACTATAAGCAATTTTCAAACTTTTCCACATATTTTCCAATTTTAAACGTAATTTTCCTGTACTATATTTTTTTATTAAATTTCCAATTTATAGTAATATTTTCCAGGCCTATACGCTATTTTCACAGATTTTCCAATTTTTGAAACAATTTTCCCGAACTATATTTTTTTTATGAAATTTCTAATTTACAGTTATATTTTTCTGGACTATAAGCAATTTTCAAAGGTTTCTACAGGTTTTCGAATTTTTAACTTAATAATTTTTCCAAACTATTTTTTAAATGAAATTTCCAAATTATATTAATGTTTTTCTGGATTATAAGCAATTTCTGAGATTAAATACAATAATTTTACTATAATATAGCTAGATAAATTTTTGTTTCTTGGAGTATTTTTTTTATATAGAAAAGAATTATTTACTAAGTATATTTTTACTTACATGATTTAAAGTATGTCCATATTTGTATAAAAAATTCAGTTTATAATAACATTTTCTCGTACTATAGTTTCAGCCTTCTGTAGCTATATTTTATCATTCTTTACATTTAGCATAATTTTCATAAGCATTATCCAAAACTCACTACTGATTTATTTTTTTAAAGACAATATTCAGAAACAATAATTCCAGAAGCATTCATAAATACTTGAAATTGAGTTTCTATTGCGTTTCTTTCACTAGATTTATAAATACAGCCCACCACCAAATTACCCTGCAGAGTTAAAAAAAAATATTACTGTTATAGGTGTAAAATGTTTCATAATTTTCAATAATTCGTAATAGTAAGTTCGTTTTGTTTAAAATATATCACAAATGTAGCTAAACCGCACGAAATTTGAATAAAGCGTATTTTTTAATACCTACTAATATTCGATTAAATTCAAAATATTGTCCTGGACTATTTTGAGTTGTACTGTTTTTAGTATAAATGTAAATATTTTCGAGTTAATTTTCCTGGACTATTTTTCTCAGTGGCCATTGGGATACACATTTAGTGTGTGGGATACACAGTTAGTGTATTATTATAAAAATTGTTTCCAATTTTTATTTTCTATATTGCCCCAGATTTATTATTTGTACATTTTTTATTTTTTTGTTTATTTTTGACACATCTGTGGTATTTGTGTATTTTTTTGGGTTTCATTTTATTTTCAATTAAGTTTCATGTTTTGCTTTTTCCTTCAACTATATTTTTTTAAACGAAAAATTGAACTAAAACTAATTTCCCCTAGAGTCCATTTTAAAAATATAATTTTCATTTTTCAAAAATGTTAGCCCAGGAAAACTATATTTTGATTTTTTTTTATATATGAAATATTAGTAGATATACTTCTTCAGCACTATTTTCTATTCATCAAGACCCCAAAAATTCGAGAATTATAAAATTAAGAGTTTAAAAAACGAAACATGTGAGCAGTTAGCCAAGTGTATGGCACCTTGAGCTATCGTCTTAAAAATTCCGGATCCGTTATATGGCAGTCTAAAAAATTTCTTGACAGTTATACATGTATTCGCAATCGAAGTTTCTAAATGACAACGTACAAACATCGATTGCTTATCGATCTATTTGAAATTGGTTCAACTAGTATGGCTATAAGCTGTATTAGTATACGGTCCGCTGTAAATCGAACTATTAGAATGTGATGTAGTCTTCTTCCTTCTCTTTGCTAGAAGGAACAAGATGGCCGCCACGACGCACAACATCAGTATCAATCCCGCTATGCAGATTCCGATTGCGAAGCTCTTTTGAGAAATGCAGATGCTGTCTGAAGTCTGTAACAAAAAATAAAAACAATAATAAAAAAATAAATATAATCCTAGCAACGCGACGTCACGTTCCAAGATTGCTTCAGAATGAGGTTATCTACTGCCACAATAACAGCAACAGATGAAACGAAGAAGCAATTTTTCTTGCATTGACGGGTCACTAAACCTGACCCCCCAAAAATTTTTTTTTGCAAATTTTTTAATTTCTATTAGCATAAATCGTTTGTTCGTTGTTTGTTCTTAATTGTTCGCAAATAATAATTGTTTGTTCTCATTTCGTTTATTTATAAAAATAAAAAATAAAATTGATCCTCTATTTAGCCCCAACAATTTTTTTGCAAGTTTTTGAATTTTGATTAGCATAAATCGTTTGTTTGTTGTTTGTTCTTAATTGTTCGTAAATAATAATTATTTGTTCTCATTTTGTTTATGTATAATACAAAATAAATAAATAAAATTTATTAACTATTTAGCCCCCTATTTTTTTACGGTACTTTCCTCGAAAGTTGCTCTGAAACGTTTTATAGATGTTATAATGTCAATTAATTCTAAATCATTATACAGTGTGTCCACATACAGTGTGTCCACATATTCACTGCTGCGTTAGATAATACTTCTTTTCACGAATATATTGCAAATATTGAAATTACGATTTTTAAGTTTTTGAGAGAATTTATGAAAAACGGGCCAACAGCAGAACTTTACCAACAACGCCTATCTATTTTAAAACCTCTATTTATATAAAAAAAATGATGAACACCACTAAGAAATTACAAATTTAAATGTAATTAATTGTTACGATAATATCAGTAACTTGTGGAATATTTTATTCAAAAATTCACCAAGCATTTATGAAACCACTTATTGTTCAGATTGTAAAATATACAGAAAAGATTTTCCGGTTCTTGCTGTGAATCACCAAATTATTGCTCGTGAAGGATTTTCTGCTCTAGAAAGAGCACTAAATTTTCATCAGAAAATATACAATGTTCATTGTATATTTTGCAAGAAGGGAAATGCTACACATGTTGCTGTTCCTAACAAATATTTATTTATTGAATTAGATATACGTGAAAATATTAGTATACAAAGGGGAAAAACTTGTAAACTCGGCGAGCTTCCTATTTATTTAAGCTTCTTAAAACTCAAAAATAATGATGGATCTGAAACTAATCTACGTTACAGGTATACTTTTACTTTTGACAATATTTAACTTTAAGCCATTTTACTAATTCTTTCATTATTTATAAATTTTTAGATTATCTGGAGTAGCATATCGAACAGGCCACTATTTTGCTTACTGTCGGCGATTATCGGGAAATTGGCAAATTTACAATGATTGTTCGCCTAAACCGGAATCAGCAACTCTTCATACCGAAGTAGAACCCCACGGAGTCTTTTATATTTTGGACGAAAATAAATAAAAAATACATTCGCTTTTTTGGATGAAAATAGTCCTTTAAAAAGAGTTTTTAATCCTGCATGTACTGAGTGATATGATATATCATAAAAAAAGTAAATTATCGAAAGAACCAACTTAATTTATAATTAAACAAATGTTGATAAATAACTAAAGATTAATAGTAATTTAAAAAATTATAATTTGCAAATAGGGGGCTAAATAGTTAATAAATTTTATTTATTTATTTTGTATTATACATAAACAAAATGAGAACAAATAATTATTATTTACGAACAATTAAGAACAAACAACAAACGATTTATGCTAATCAAAATTCGAAAACTTGCAAAAAAATTGTTGGGGGCTAAATAGAGGATCAATTTTATTTTTTACTTTTATAAATAAACGAAATGAGAACAAACAATTATTATTTGCGAACAATTAAGAACAAACAACGAACAAACGATTTATGCTAATTGAAATTCAAAAATTTGCAATAAAAATTTTTTGGGGGTCAGCTTTAGTGACCCTGCATTGACTTACTTTTTCGCTGAAAACAGAATCGTCCTCTTCTCCCACCTTGGCCAAATCATTAGCTTCGTTGACGTAGAGGCCGCTGAATACCTCTATCGTGGCTGGAGTGCCTTCGCTAGAAGAGTCCGTTGCTTGGCGACGGACCCTGTTCGTACCCCAGCATGTTGGTTCCTAAGGATAAAAAAAATATTTTTAATATTAACGACTAATTTGTTAGATATTTATGTAATTAAATTTCCCTGGAATATATTTTAGTTATAGGTAGGTATACCAACAAATCGATATAAAGTCATTTCAGAAAGACCGGCACAATTATAACTGTTCAGTACATTCGAACATTCTCAATGTCGTATTTTATCCTGTTTTGTAACTAATAGACTAAAAAGGAGCATATTAGAGGAGTCTTTTTTTAATTATGTCGTTTTAAATTACAAATATTAAGTCGGTAATCCAAATAAATGTGACAGTTTTTCTTACAAAATATATTAGATTTTCCTGACTTTATTGAGGTTAAAATATTAAAAAAAGAGTAATTATCCGAGCTGTAGCAACCATATGTGACAGGTCGTGCGGCGCACGATGGCGCCGTCACTCAAAAGGCGCCGAATATATTTTTTTATTTTTACCAATGTCTAAACAAATTAGTTAGAAGGATCATGTATATTTGAGCCGTGTATGCTAGAATTAAGATTAATCGCAAGTAGGCAATAATATCTAAATAAATAATTTATAAAACGGCCTGTAACTATGTTCCAAAAAATCGGAAGTATTATCTTAATAATAACAAAATACTACAATAAAAGTGTACCAAATCTTTTGTCTGCTCATTTACCACCGTTGTGTTAAACGAAGTTTAAATTATTTAACGAAGATTAAAATGACATTGTTAATGTTAAAATTCATTTTAAACTAACTACTAGTGGTGAAATTGAAGTACTCACCACATCACAACTCTTATCAGCCTTCAAACACAGTTTAACGTTACACTGATAATACACAGAGGCGGTGTAAGGAAATTTGTGAGCCTGGAACTGGACCGAAGCATGCGTCTTATCCTCGGAATATCGAAACATACCCATAATCTCTGGATCGGTGGGACACCCATCGTCGTTGATAAGTTTCTGTTCGCCCCATCCCAAACCATCTCTGACCAAGCAATCCGTCACTCTTATACCGTAGATGTCTTGTTCGTCTAGCGTCACCACCAAGGTAAGCGGGTCGCCGATTTTAACGTTCTCGGCTACTTCTTTTTTGGTTGGATCGCCCGAGAATATCCGCATGCTACAGCCTGGCATCGGGGATAGAGCCGTTATGGGATCAGCTGACATCAAACTGTAAACAGTTATAAAAGTAATTTAAAAAAAAATGACTCCAAAATCGTGCAGATGTCATTAAAAATTGAGTTTGCTAATTTTATCATAGATCCTATCATCAGCTCTTCACCAAATGTATATGGGACCCCCCGGAGACCTTTTTAACAAAACATAATAGAAATCGGACAATGCGATAAATAATTATCACTAAATATACATTAAAAAATGAAGAGTGATGATTTTCTAATATACCAAATTATCAGATACTGACCAAATTAATATGGGACCACCTATGAGGTACCCCCTAACAAACAAGAATCCTAGAAATAGAACAACGTGGTAAATAATTATCAGTGAACATAAAAAAAAAATATATATTCCGACTAATTGAGAACCTCCTCCTCTTTTTTTGAAGTCGGTTAAAAATACGTAAAAACTGTTTCAGATTTATAATTTTACGATTTTTAACTGGGTGATTCCACCAAAAGGGGACAAATCAGTATCTTTGTGCATTATTTCTTGACCAGGAATTACTGAAGACTATATGAAAATTCTGAACAATTAATACTAATATGTAATATTTAAAAAAGAAACAAAAACAAAATGTGAAGTATTTGTTAACCTTGAAATGCTCTATAATCATCTCCATGTCCTGTCCCTGATTGAAGTTGAACATGTTTCTTGCTTTTTTAATGCACTTTGAACATTCAGTAAGTGTTTTACAGTTCGTAAACTTGAAAACAAATGTTCATTGAATTATTTGATAACTTGTTTGAAAAAAAAACTGAATGATATTTTTTACTAATAAAGAAAAAAGGACTGTCCCTAAGAATTACATCAACTCCATGGACACGTCTAAACTTGGTATTTCTCGAATGAAATTTGCTTATGGTGGGGAGTCTACCCTTTGAATGTTCATGTTAAAATCACGTATCGGTATCTTCCAAGTAGTCGAAGGTGATAGTGTTGTTTTTTACGGGCATAAAGGACGCTATAACCATTCATTACGAGGTGAATATAGTTTCATTTAGTCAACTCCATGGTTCAATTTTTTACAGGAATTATAATTAATGTTTAATTATTGAATTCAATTTTCTATTATACATGTTGTACACATCTCATGCCCAATCTGAGTTCTTCCTTAAATACCTCTTAGTCGACGATTTTTCATTTTTTACATAAAAACTTCACCTCCATGGACATCAACTCCATGTACTTTACTGGACCATGGAGTTGACTGTTAAGCATGAGTTGATACACTTTTTGATTTCAGATCCAAAATGGGAAAAACTGACAAAGATATTGAAAAAATAAGGAAGCAAAAGAGAGAAGCTGAGAGAAGGAGAAGAGAGCGAATTAAAAATAATCCTGAGGGATACGAAAAGGCGAAAGCATCAGAAAGGGAAAGATACCACCAGAGAAAAAAATACAGGGAAAATAAAAACCATCAGCGAGGAATCAAACAGAAAAAACGCATAATTAGAAAAAATGGAGAACAGCTTCTAAGAAATACAGGAAATCTAAGAAAACTATGATAGCTGCAATGGAGTTTGCGGAACGCAATTCGCCACCAGCCAGTCCATTTTTGAACGAGCCAAACTTTAATCAGACTCCGAATCAGACTCCGAGAAGTTCAAGAAGGGATTTTGGAAGAAAGTTAGCCCGAAAAACTAAAGCTAAAATGTACAGAGATATTCAAAAATTTAAGTTAAAGCTATAAAAAAATAAAAATGAATTAGAAAAGTATAAGAAACGATTTTACAGACAAAAAGATAAAAATAAAGCTGATGTCCAATGTAATTCTAAGATGTCGTCCTGCCGTTTTTCCCTTGCGAATTGTTCCCTTTTGGTGGAATCACCCAACTGCGTTTTCCTGGACTATATAGGCCCGATCTTGGGTGGTCAAGCGCTTGCACCCAGGATTTTGTGTGCACCCTGTTAGAACTTTTAACTAATATTTAATATTTTAAGTGGGTACTGTACAATGATATATGACAGTTGACATTTTTATTATTCATTATTCTGTGTGAAGCCCACTGTGTTACTAATTCAATAAAACTAATTCTAAAGTAAATCCTGATTTATTTAAATAATCCTACGTGGATATTTAATCTGTGGGACTTTATTATCAACCCTCGGCCAAGTTTATTACATTTCAGAAGTTAGGATCTGAATGCTATCACGTATTTTCGTAGATATTCGACTTCAAATAAAATACGGCGTGGCGGTTCGGTAAAACTTTCAAACTATTAATAAAAATAAAGGCGAATAAACGTTATAAAGTGGACAAAATTACAAAAGAAATATAAAGGTCCATATGTAGTACTGAAAAAAATGCCAGAAAACACATATCAGAAAAACTATGTAGTGAATATGGAGAACGATAGCAGATTACAACAGCATATGTTTCCCAAATAAACGGCTATTACAACTCATATGAAAGTGACGAAGACATAACTACAGATGAAGAATCCGAATCCGTGACAATACAAACTAAACTAGACGAAAAATCCAATAAGAACAGCGCTAAAAAGAAAGCGAAATGATATGGACGATGATCAAGCAAGCGGGACGGAAATCGTAGAAAAGAAGAGAGAAAAACGAAAACCTAATAAATTTAAAGACTATGTTTGCTATTAAGCCTTCAGCTATTTTTGTGTTCATACTAAAATTTAATTTTTTTTTGTTTTTATAAAAAAAAACTTTTTAGGATTGTTAACTTTAAATGCGAGGTCGCATTTTTGTCAGGATGGACGAATGTTAGAACCTCTATAAAATGCGTAACTAATATTTAATATTTTAAGTTGGTACTGTACAATGATATAAACAGTTGACATTTTTATTATTCATTGTTCTGTGTGAAGCCCACTGTGTTAGTGTGAAGCTAATTCAATAAAACTAATTCTAAATCCTGATTTATTTAAATAATCCTGCGTGGATATTTAATCTGTGGGCCAATCTCGGCCAAGTTTATTAAAGTCTCTTTTTATGTCTCTCCCTTAAATTAAAATTACATTTCATTCTATATTGTATAAAATTTGATTCTCTTTTCGATATAGTCTTGTTTCAATTTTTTATCTCTATTTGTATTTACCTAATGGGGGCATTTTTCCAAATTTTTTCCTCGAGAGTTGAGTTTATCTCGATTTTATTTTTCAATAGCTACTTTTCCCTCGAGTCTCTTTTCCTCTAGTGTTTGGCTTCCATTGAGTATTTCTCTCTAATCTTTTTTCCTCTGTTTCTCACGATTCCTCAAAAATTAGGTTTCTCTCGATTGTTTTTTACTCTAGAGGTGGTTTTCAATCTAGTCTTTTTTCCTCGAGAGTTTGGTTTCTCTCGTGTCTTTTTTCCTCGAGAGGTGGTTTTCTCTTGGGTCTTTTTTCCTTGATAGTTTTGTTTCTCTCGAGTCTTTTCTTCGTGAAGTGGTTTTTTCTCTGGAACCTATTTGCTCGAGAGGTGGATTTCTCTTGAATCGTTTTTCATTGAGAGGTGGGTTTCTCTCGAGCCTATTTACAATGCAATTTTCCCGGACTATATTGTCGGTACTTTTTTTAATGGAACGCCCTGTATCATTTTATATTTTTGAAAGCTCCTTAATACGCTGACTTCAACGAACCATAATATTTATGGTCTATATGAATAATACAGAACGAATTTTTGAAATTATTTGTCATTTCTTTTTTGAAAATAAATACATAAAATACTTGTTTTCCAAAATATTAATTATTAAAACTGAATAAATAAAAAATGATTAATCAAAATGAAAACTTACTCGACTTTGAGCGAATCGTTCATGACGGTATTATTTCTCGTATTGTAGCGACATCTAATGTGAAATCCTCGACCTTGGTTGGTGACAAGTTTGAGATGAGGCTGAACTACAATAGTGTTATAGTATTCGATAGCTCCGTCATCCTGTAACAAAATCATTTGATTTAATATATTTAAAGCATAAAGAAATATGCATATCCAACACATGAGTTAAAAAGTGGTTAGAATAGAAATTTAAGAGAAAAATTTTCCATACACATTTTATATGTAACATATTTCATATCTTTATTGCCAACGAAAATATTGGAAAAATTTTAATTTATAACTTTTTCTCAAATTTTTCATTACGGTCCATTTTAGAGAAATCATGTATTTCAAAAAAAATATAGAGAATAACATCGTATTGGGAGAAATTTCATCCCCCAATCATAAATAACGGAAAAAAATAATTATCTTCCCAAAATCCATTGTCATAACGATTTATTTGGATAATTAATGTAATGCAATGAATTATAATACGATTAGCTATATTTTTGTTGTATAAATTAAAATAAAAGTAGTGTTACACAGGTTTTTGGAATCGCAATTTATTTCAACTCAACTTTAACAACAATTATACAACTGATAACATTAACATGTAACGTCTATCATAAAACTCAAAACTGACGTCAGGATCATCCTTATATAGCTTGCTTGGCCCTTCTCGAACCTTCTCGAACTGTCGTCTAGAATATTCTTGACGGGTAATGACATTTCCGGACATTTCTGGAGTATTCTATCTTCTTTTACTTGTACTTTTACTTATGACGGCCGCAGCACACTATAGTGTGATGGGTGACATTGTACTTCTTTTCGTATTTGTACGTATTCTATAACGGCCGCAGACCACTGCAGGGTGTAGTGTAACAGTAGGTTGTCTAATTATGTCAAAAGTTATATAGGGAGTCGTTTTTCTACTTTAACCCTTTAAGTCGCAAAACTTTTTGTTTCAATATTACCATTTTTTGTTTTTTTTAATTTAATAAAAAACCGTTCATATCGGTTGTTTGACAAGGAAATTTTGCAAAATTGTTTCCCTAAGGGGTGGTCCCTATTGGGACCACTGCCTTTTTAAGATGACTGAAGGAATATTATATTTCGGTGGTCTCAATAGTAACCACTGTTTATATTTCCAAATTTTATTTAATAAACAATAAACACAATTCCTGATATCTAATGCTTTCTAACTGCTTATAAGACCATTTTTTTTACTCATTTTGCTCTGAAAAGAAAATACTTATTTACAGCAGCACTAAAAATTTGCGTTGAAAGTACGCCCGGACTAAAACAACCGATGCTATTTTCAAAGCGGTATAATTCAGAGCAAAATTTATATTATCATATGTAAAACTAATGTCTTAGGTGATATATTTGCATATTAGAAATCTTCCAATGTCATTTTATTTCAATGAAAACATTAATCAAAAAACAATATTTTTTAGATTAGAATTCAAACCAGTATATTTTTTTCATCTACCGGTTAAAATTAACACTAATTTTACATCCAAATTATATAACTTACCCGTCACAAAGTATACTAAATGACACAAATCAAGAAAAAATAAACCTCTGAAAAAAGTGCAACACATGTTTCTTTTAAGGTAAAGGTGGTGAAATATTTGTTGCCTATATAACCAGGGCGGCAAGTGGTCTCGAGCATAGCCACATTAGCCACGAAGCTTTCACTTAGGTATATTTTTGTTACTTTTTATGATTAGTTAAGAAATTTTTTTGAACAAAAGTTGTGTGTTATGTTATTCTCTATAATTTTTGTTATGTACATGATTTTTCTAAAATGGACTTTATTAGAGTAATTTAAAGAAAAGTGCGAAAATATCATTTTTTCAATATTTTCGTTTGCAATGAAAAAATATTTACTTTTTGATTAGGTGGGCCGTGCACAATATATTTGATACCTTTATTGGAAAGTCAAAAAATCATGTTTTTACAGTTTGATCAAAAATAGAGGAGGTAGTAAGCTTTTTGTGATATAGGTACAACTTCAACTACGTTGCTATTTTAAAAAATTCAAAATAACGGTGGTACGCTAAAAACTTCACACAAATTTGATATAAGTTCTCTAAAAAATAATCACCATACAATTCCATAGAGTTCATTCGTTTAAAATTTTGTTTTTATTTGGATTGTACCTATACAGAATGCGGATTAAATCTGATACGATGGCTACTTTTTAGACTAGAGAGTTAAATGTATTATTACAACGTTTATCAAACCGTAGAATACCTCCTAGGTATAATATTGACAGATTACCGCGGAAAATTAATTTCTACGGTTGGGGACCCAAGCATATGGGTACGAATAAGCAGTACCTACTTGATACTTTACTTCCCAGTTGAGATCTTTAAAGTAATCTCATAATATCATCATTTATGCGTGCAATCTTTGTACTATTCGAGTTCTTCTATCTACTAGCGATCAAATACAGTGTCGGCTTTGAAATATGCAAGTTTTAGAAATGATTTTTAGCCCAGTCATACAATGAAAAAGAATGGAGAAGGATTTTTAAGTGGCATATAAAATGTTTTTGAAGGTGCTGAACACTAACTAATCTTAACTTTGTCACCTGGAATTTTTTCGGGACAAAAAATCATAAGCAAAAAACTGTTCAAGAGTGATTTTTGTTTTTTTTTCTTAATAACACCCAAGGTATATGGTTTTTGACTATATTTTTCATCTATCAATATCTGATGCGTTCATTACATGACTTTCCAATAAAGTTAGATACTTTGCCAGCTAAAATATAAGGTGGGATCGCATCAATACTGCGCAAAAGTATTAGAAACAAAATAATCTATAATTGAGTGAGTAAAGCAAAGGTGTCGCTAGTTTTTTTCAAGGGGGGTAATTGAAAATGAAAATACAGAAAACGATTTATTATCATATAATTAGAAATAAATAAAAACAAAATATAAAAACCATAAAGAAACTCCATATTCTTTAGGTTAGGAGGAGTATTAATGAAATAATTGGTATAAAAACAAAAATTCAGTTTCAAAAATATAATGAAATAAAATCAAATAAAAAATAAATTGACAAATATTGATTGTTTTATAGTTTAAAACTAGTAAAAATAAAAAAGATTTGTTGGCGAGATAAATATATACCAAATTTATCCGATTTTTCTTGTTATATTTATTCAGTATAAATTATTTTTGGACAAATTATTTTTGAATAAATTATTTTTGAATAAATTATTTTTGGACAAAGAAGGTTATTCTGCTCCTCAAAGGTATGAGAAAAGAAACACATAAACCGTACCACACAATATTTTATTTAAAAAATGTAGACAACTGTCTTTGGCATAAAAGGCATAATCGGGCCCGAAAGATGATAAACAATTGAGTACAAAATATTTTATGGCATCTCAAACAATTCTTATTCAAATAATTTTCTCCTTAAGTATAAATTATAAAATATAAAAAATATATCTTAAGTAGAAAAATGTCCCCATAAAAGTACCCTCGGGATGCTTCAACTATGCCCAAAATCCAATCGGGTCACACCGCACGATTAATTAAAGTTTAATTTTGTATTTTTTTCAGTATCCGTTTTTGAGTTATCGTGAATAAAAACACACAGACCGAAATCATCGCGAAAATGGATAAAACCAAATCCCATAAACAAATATCCGTCGAAAACTCGTGATTCCTATACTTTCCATACTGGTTACAGGAAAGTAAAAATAAAACATACGATTTGGTCTAATATAATATGTAGGAGTTTGAAGAACTTCAAATATGTGTAAATATTACATATAAATCGTACTATCTATTAATTCTGTTATTTCCTTTTTTTTTAAACAAATTTTAACGAATCATTTCCACTTTAATTTAATTTCACTCGCCACTGGGTTAAAAACTATTTAGACAGTTTCCTCTCTGTCTATCTCATTTATGGTCTATTGGTCATGTTCTTTTTAATCTTCCATTAGAACAGGGGGTCATCATGATATTCTAATTTACTATGGTGTTTGGTACACAGGGCCGCCGAGAGCCAGGTCGGGCCCCGGGACAATTCTCTACAGAAACTTTTCGTTTTCTAAAAAAAAAGTCCTCGTCTCGAAAAACATAAAGTTTCTCCCTACCTCAATCACTTCTTCTAAAAAAAAAAAAAAAAAATTCAATTATTCTTCTTCTAACAATCACATCACCATGCGGGAACAGAAAACCCTATTGTCGGGCCCCCCTTACAGCGCTGCCGGGCCCCCATTTGGGCCCGGGCCCCGGGAATTAGTCCCGGCTACCCCCCCCCCCTCTAGTCGGGCCTGTATGGTACATCTATTTTAAATTAATTCATGAATAGTTGATATATGACTTGGTTGACTATCTAAACTGCTGGCCACTCGAACTTACACATACAGATTTGTAGACAAAATTGAAAGTTCAACATTTTCATCAGGAATGCAAATTTTTGAACGCGGCTTGCAGATTTTTAGAGCTAGTTTTTTTCCGAATAAGCTGCAAGACGTATATCGTCGGACCATAGGTTTATTATATACGGGGTGATCAATGAAGTCATGCAAAAAATCAAAAAGTTTATACAAGTGAAATTTCTGCAAAAAATTTTTTTGGTCGTTGCAATATGTTTCGTTACTAAGGTAACATCAATATCTCTAGATATTCTTGTTAGTTTTTGAATTAAGGACCTTAGGTCTTCTACACACTACCAAAAATAAAATTTGGGTAGTAAAATTTTTAAAATGCTATAATTTGACATTGGAATGACGGTTTTTGATGATTTTTACGGATTTGGATTCCTTATTTCACGTAGATTTTCTATGGTCTGCATTTTATTTGAGGGTTGAAATTTACACATTATACCGGGTCGATAATAGACAAAAACGTAGCGTATGACGCGCTCTAAGGTTTGGCATTATTTAAGTTTTTGTAAAAATACATTCTCATATCAAAGAGTCAAGGCCGAATGTTGGTTTGGAGAGGGCCAAATTAGCGGTATTTGGAGGAAAATATGGCCCCTCAAGAGGCAACCGTTAACGCTACTGTTTATGAGGAGGACATTTTGGAACCTATTGTTGTTCCTTTTGCTCGAAATTACGGCCAAGAATTTCTATTGGTGGATGACAA